AATATTGATAAAAAGCAACGATCTGAATGAAGAATATTCTTTTCAATAAATTCCCTAATCTGATTCTACAATTATAAAATCCAATGGTATAACGTAAAATCGAGCCAAGTCAAGGGCAAGTACATTTTCAAATGGAGTGAGATCTAGAGATTGTAAAGAAATCGATTTATCTTTTTTCTTTTAGTCAATTTTGGGATGATACATATAGACAGAAGAATGATATGATGGTGATGAATTAAAAGATAACGAATAACATGGCAGGAGTGGCCTCTAGTTAGCTGAAGGCCAATTGAGAAGTAACACTTGGACATGTTGTTTTCTGAATGCGACAGCCTCCACTATGTTGTGCAGGCGTTGGTGACTACACTTGGTGTTGTTTTCCAAACACGATGAATGACATTGATAGCTTTATTAGCATCTATATGATACTTTGTGTCAACTAGATGTGCTAGGACTGAACTTTTCACCATTTTCACTGCACCCTTTCCGAAACAAGCTGGTAAATACTCTCGTATTGGGGGGATGCACCTGCTCAGTCATACGCTCTATGTAACTAGTTTCACAGAAACAGTTAAATTGATATATGCAAGATAAAGATACTTCTCAGTATAGAGGCACCTTTGGATATCAAGAAAATGTATTGAATTATTGATTTCATTTTCGTCTGTAAAATGAATTGATGGATGAGCAGCACTGTTGAAATGATTCAGAATGGAATTAATACATATGTACCTATCAAAGACTGTTGCAATAAGATTGATAAAGCCTGAACTATGCATTAAGAAACAACATGTCCAGGCATCACTTCTCACTTGACCTTCAGCTAATTGGAGGCCACTCCTGCCATCTTATTCGTTATCTTTCTATTCATCACCATCATATCATTCTTTCGTAAATATATATCATCCCAGTATTGACTAACATGGCTCGATTTTACGCTGTACAACTGGATTCTATAATTGTAGAATGTGATTAGGGAAATTATTGAAAAGAATATTCTTCGTCCAGATTACCACAGTCTGAAGTGCACAATGTTGGATAACTTTTGAGAACAGAATAAAACAAACGTATGAATTTGTGAATGTACTGTGGTATTCTTGGTTGTATTGTGTTCTCTGAGCTGGGTTGTTCAGTCGTAGAGCTTTTGTCGTCCTTCTAGACGACATCATGAGGACTAACTTCCATATGAAGTGAGATGTCAATATCTCATCGTGAGTGATTTAGTAGCTTGCCTTGACGAACTGGTTTTTGATTGGCTGTTTCCTTTGGTTGTTGTCTCATTGACTGTACGGATTTCCCCGTTGGCTGTTCCTCTGCTTCACCTCTGACCCTCTTCTCATTGGTTAATAGATTGGGTCTATGTCTATACATCTATTGATTGCTGACTGACTGACCTGAATACCAAGCTCCTAGGAATTCTCTGATATTCTTTGTGTTTCTCTCGCCATTCAAGATTTCTACGTTGTCACAATTGAATTCATGTCCATAGTTGTTATCCACATGCATGAAATGAGTGACAAAATGTCTTTGTGACGTTTAATAGCCGATTGGTATTCATGTAGATGAAGGCGAAGACGGTGACCACTTTGTCCAATGTAGTCTTGACTACAGTTATTCCAGTTGATTTTGTAAGTGATCTTCGGTTTGTCTTCTTTGCTTGTTGCATAATAGTGCTTGGAGAGAATTTGTTGGTTTATGAGGCACCACACCAAAAGTGGTTTCAGTAATTTTGTCGTGATTTCTGATATATTCTTTCTTGTACTATAGGATATGTGTTTGTTGATTTCTGTCGATGACTTGGTAGTTGACGATGTGTGGATAGGTATTATTTGGAGTTTCATGTTGTACTCAAATGAATATTGTTATACATGTGCACAGGCTCTACATTGAAATCATACTCAGCAAAGACACAAATACTTAAGTGTCACGTTAGACAATTAACTCAATTACGTCACTATTGGATTCCGCCAACCTAGTGGCTGAATGGTAACGTGGTGGCCATGGAGGTGCTGCGTTCGACCCCTGGAGGGGGGGGCGGTTATGGGTACGCACTGTTGAGGTGTCTCATACTAAGACGAAATAGATGTCAATGTTCTTCCAACTGATGTCAGTCCATAACCTTACCTATAACAAACAGTTTCTATACTCCTAGCTGTAACCGTGGGCTAATCAAAACTATGTCCTGCGGATAACTTAGAGGGAAAATGAAACATTATTAAGAAGTGTTCTCGAAAGAATGGATATCCTAAGAAAATTATTATGAAGTATGTAAAAAGAAAAGATCAAGAGAAATACACACACACAACTGTGGAAAAGTAGATCTTCATTGAAGAGAATAGATACAAGGATCAGAGAGGTATTGAGGAGCTTTTTCACAGTTAAACTTTTATCAGTATACAATGTCATATACTCGCTAAGCTAATCAAAATACGACAATCACCCTGCTCAAATCATTTCCATCTGTGTTTATGAATTCATATACACTTGCAGTAGAAAGAACATTGAAAGGACTGAGAGAAGTATACCTATTCCGTTCGCTGATCACATCTTCGAGAATCTGTGCTTGAACGGAAGTAAATTTCTAACTAGTGCAGTTGCTAGAGACCTTATGGACACAGGAAATCAGGCTAATACGTCAAGCGCTATTGAAATAATAAAGGTACAGAAAATGTCTGGATTACTGGACTTCATCAAAGTGTTTGTTATAATACGCTTTCAAATCAATTTAACAAACGACCTCAGGCATTAATGCTTTACGGTTGAAATCGTCATACCTTATATCAGCGCAACAAGTAACAAAGTAGGAAGTTGAAGAAATAAAAAACCGGTCAGAAGCAGTAAGTGAGAAGAAGGCGGAAAAAGAAGATAACGTGTCAATGCTGTCAGTTAGTTCTAACCCATATCACCTAGAGTTTCCAACCACTGGTTTCTCTTGTCCTGTGGACTCCAGCCTAGTAGTCTACATCGCCTCATGTATTCAAACCAATAGTCAAGGACTTCATGCATTGATGTCATGTTTTAATCTGGCTAGCCAGAGCCTTTTCCAAGCCTGAACCGAATTCAAGCAATATTGCACGACAAGGCAAACGGCGATTAGACATGCGTAGAGAGAGATTTACAACCATATGAACCGACTTTCCTCTCCTGCCTAAAGCTCTACACTCGACTTCTGTGTTACTCACGTCGTAGTGACACCATGACAGACAGCCTATGCTACAAAGGCAGCTGTGGTCTTATACCAAAAGCCTTCTCATGTTCACTACCTTTAATGGTCATGTTTCATAAAAATCGGATATCATGGTGGTGCCATAGATGGCATAAGTCAGTCAAGTCTTCTTTATCGGTGCCGAGATTTCGTCGGCCACTAACCCACCAGTTTAATCTCGCATTAACTGAGCCATCCTGATTACGCAACTCCTTAATTATTCACTATAGACACTAAATGTAAAGTGATTTTGATGTAAAGGATTCCAGTTTACCAAACAAGTCTACTGAATTTTCTACAATCTCTGGGTGATATGCTTCTATTGTTATACCTCCCCGGCTATATGCAGCTTGAATCCCAACTACCATCGCCCCTATTATATCCAGTACACATTATCCATGAGAAACACACTATGTTCTCTCATTATTATCAACTTACTACTCATTCACTTGCGTAATCTGTTGTTTTACATTCTACGGTACTCGCTTTGCTGCCTCTATCTAATTTTTGCCAAAAATTTGTTTTTACGACATCCCATTATTATTATTTGTCCCTTGGGTTCCAAGTGGAACATAAGGCTTCAGTAGCACGTCTCCATTCTACTCTGTTTTCTGCGATCTTTTGAACCTCGTTCCACGACTGCCCACAAGCTCCCATTTCTTCCTCACACCATCTCCTCCATGTCACCCTCACCTGGGATGCCCAACTCGTCGTTTCCCATGTGGGTTCCATTCTAGTGCCTGGCGCGTGATATCCCCAACCGGCTTTCTCAGTGCATGCCCAATCCATCTCCATTTCCTTCTACTACATACTTCTTGAGCGATAGGTTCTTGCTTCGTTGCCAGCCAGAGTTCCTTGTTGCTTATTCTTTCAGGCCATCTGCGCTTCAGTAACGAGCCAGCGTAGGCAGTTGTTGATGAATATCTGTAGTTTGTTGGAAATGCTTTTCGTAGCGCGCCGAGTTTCTGAACCATCACAAAGAAACATAGACTTGACTGAATTGGTATTGAAAATCCGGATGTTGTTGACGCTTTATGCATAGTTCAGTAGGTCTCCACACTAGTTTCAGGTTGATGAATGCCTGTCTTGCTGTTTTTCCGATCCTGGCTGCTGTGACGTCCTCGTCTGTGCCACCGCCACCTGTAGTTGAAACAGTGCTGCCTAGGTAGGTGAAAGAGGCTACTTCCTTTAAACGACACTCCATTACACAACTCTATTTCAGTTTATACAGTTTTCTGACTTGCTACATATTTTCCTAGTGTAACTGGTCTCATTGAACTAAGTATGAAATATTGAAAGGTGATTGTATTCATCAGCTGTTTGATAGCTGTGTTGGTGTTTTGAGAAGTAAACAACACAGTAATCACAAGTTGAAATGGATTGATCTTCAGGTAATTATTACTACAGAAACCAAAGTGTCCTTTAGCCATTAGACAGAATATCATCAACACTATAAGTTAGCTTTCATTTCATAGTGATTCTTGATAAATTGAAGTATAAAATTCTTGATATAGACTAGACTATCTATTGAATTCGATTCTGTCTACTCCATGTGGTAAGGTTTACACTGATTAACGAATCGGACAGCTTCAAAAAATCCCCTCACCATATCAACACCAAGTACCATAGAAGCACGGTGATACGAAACGGGATTACTCTATATACTCATCTTGAAATCGATAGATTATAAGATAATAAATAGTGTTATATTAGTAATATTATCCTGTAATTATCATTACACTAGATTGATTCTTCACTATAAAAAAAACAAACACAAATTAACAAAGTGATTAATTTACATGCATGTTTTATGTGAACGACATAGTCGACCACATTTCAATGGACATAAATCTTTTTCATATATTGCCTCCCAATGTGTTTGATATGGCCGAAATAATTGACATAAAAATGCTTCTAAAACAATATGTACAAATCTACGATTAAATTTTTCTTCTTGTAGCATATTGAATATACGTGATACACCATGACGAGTAGTTTCATTGCCAAGAAATTGTGAAAGTTCTTCTAAAAAGTTGAAAATTAAAAAAAGCTATTTGTAGAAAATATGAAAGGAAAGAATAGATAATTTTAGTCGATAGGTGAGTCAGATAGACACTTATCCTAGTTCAGTTCCAGTCAATCATCGATATAAAGACGATTTAGTGTTGTTAATTGGTTGGAGGTAATCGGTAGGAGGTCCTGCCTGATCTAGGTTTCATGCTTTTTAGCACTTCGACGGAATTGATATCTTGCCTGAGATTCGAACCCGCATCACCCAGTGTTATAGTCAGCTACTTTACCATTGAGCTATTTAGGCCGCGATTGACTTCCTGTAGAACTGGCTTACATGTATGTGTTGATTGATCACAAGAGGGTAAACAATTTCATGTTGTCTAGTCCTGAGTGCAGACCGAATCCTATCGATCATCTACTAATGTGCACCGCGATACTGAGCTTCCTAGCTTGGTTGCCATATTGCTAATATGATCGATAGGATTCGGTCTACACTCAGGACTAGACAACATTAAATTGGTTGCACTCCCGTGACTAATCAATACGAGCGGTCCAGGTGTACTTGTAAGTATAAAGGTAATGGTGTTCTCTCGGTGATTATAACTTACGTCATGAAGTATTCAAGTTGAAATTCTTAACACTGAGGCATGGCTCAAGTACACAAATCGGCCACTATGTAGCTATCTAATTCTCACTACTCAATATTGACCGAATTTTTATTGATCACGCTTCCTAGGTGATTCAACATTGTGTTGAACTATACGTTGGTATTAATCGTGATCTAAACAGTTTAGTGGTACAGTGTCTTTGGCGATGAACTTTTAAACGCACAACAATACATCATACTACTATCCTGAAAGTATTCATCACGGACTAACACATCAATTGGGAAACCATGTGGTTGCTGGTTCGAATCCGGCTGCGGTCCAAATTTTCATCTCACCTCCAACCATGACCCATTATAAATACTAGTCTGCAAATTATAGCTATCTCAGATAGTCAAATGATAAACCCAAGGGAGTGGGAGGACCGTTTCGTCCTATCATAGGATCCCTCAGCAGTGTACACCCCCATGACCCTTCAGGTTCCAAAGTCAATACATTACCATTGGAGCCGTTGGGTCAGAATCCAATGGTCCACATCCTACTGCTTCTGTCAGTTTGCGATACGACTCCGACTAAAAACTGTGAGAATCTCACCTTCAAGCAAATTAGCAATGAGCCTTAGACAGTAATTCAATTTACATGTGGGTTGTGTTAGGTCGTGAATTGATAGGAGTAGGAAACTCGAGATCAGCGGATTTCCTTTCACCTAGCGGCTGGATAGCCACGTGGTACTTGCTGCACCCGAAGGTTGTGAGTTCGACCCCGGGGGGGGAATGTATGCGCACGGCTGAAGAGTCTCATACTAGGACGAAACAGCTGTCCATTGCTCTCAGGTTTAAAACAGTTCTCCTGGAACTCATGTCAGCTGGGGATGAATACTCACTTGAAATCAATGCATGAATAAATTCTTCCCCCCCCCCCTGAAGCTCTGAAATAGTTAGGTCGAATAGCAGACTTTCACATCGGCGAAAAAGAATCACTGTGTCACTTAAGCACACTTTTTATTCCATTCCCTCCTTAAGACCAGATGATAATCTAATAACACTTGATTATTACGTTTTACTACCTTATAAAACGGTTATTATTAACATTATTGAGGTGATATAAATATTTCGTTTAAAAGTATTGGACAAGGGATATGTGCCTAAATTATTAGGAGCTTTGCAAAGAAAAAAAACGCTGTTTCTATAAATTCATCACATATCTACAAACTATAAGTATGACTGAGAAACCGAGTGGTGCTTGGGAAGCAAATATATACTTACTATGATGACAATTGAGCAGAGTATAGAATGGCAGTCAACTGGATCTTCTTTACCTCAACTTCATCGATTTCGAAAAAGCCTACGACAGCATCGACCAAGAAGTACTTTGTCAGTTACAGCTTCAACGCTACGGTTTTAGTGCCACAAACCTTTACCGACCTCATTCAACAGCAGATGTATGCTATATGAGGATGCTACATGTCACAATGGAAAACTTAGTGATGCCTTTTAAGTGAAGACAGGAGTAAGACAAGGTTGTCACCTACTATCCCGATCATCTCCCTGATTCTGGTCGACTAGATTCGACTGTATCATGCAACAAACTGTGAGGAGAGAGAAGATGGGCATACGCTGTCTTGACAGATGAAAAGACCCCAGCAGAAGATTTGGATTTCACCAATGATGACCTACGTCTAATGTCTTGTAGTACAAACTCGAAGATCTACAAGTGAAAAATAACAAGGCAAGGCAGCGAAGACGGGACTTCATTCGGGTTAACGTAGAGAAGACACAAGTGATGAAGATTCCCAACCAACAACAACAAACACCATTAACGGGAGGAATCTAAACGAAGTTGTCTCTTTCACCTACCTACTTACCTAGGCAGCATCGTTTCAACTACATGCGGCAGTACAGCCACAGATGACGACGTCAGGAAAGACAGCAAGGCAGGCCTTCATGAATAAATTTGAAATCTGTGTGGAGATCTACTGCCCTCCATTGGACTGCACTCAACGTAAACCGTGAACAACATCCGGATTTTCAACACTAATTCAGTTAAGTAAGGCAGTGCTTCTATGTGATGGTTGACAGACTTAGTGCTTTATCGAAAGCATTTCCAACAAACTAAAGATATGCGTCACATGAACAGCTGCCGCCTGCTCTCACTCGATATTGACACTGAAGATCAGATCAGATGGCGAGAAAAATAAAGACAAATAACAAGGAATTGTGGCTGTCTGGCAACGAACCAACCAACCGGAAACCTATCGCCCAACAAATATGCAGAAAGTGGAGATGGATTAGACTGGAGTGGACAAACACTGAGAAGACGGTTTGGGAACATCACACATCAAACTAGCTCGTCGAGTGAAAGCGAAATAAGAAACGACGAGTTGGGCATTCCAGCTGAGAGTGATATGGAGGAGATTGTATGAGAAAGAAATGAAAGGTTATGGACAGTCGTGTAGAGAGGTTAAAAGGATTGCAAAGAATGAAGTGAAATGAAGACGTGCTACTGAAGCCCTATGTTCCACTAGGAACCTTAGGGACTAATAATAATGATAAAAAATCAGTGCCTAAGTTTCTTCCTAACACATAGATTATTGTATTTTTGAGATGAATAGGGATTTTTAATTTAGAAGTAGTATTCATCATGGACTGACATCAGTTGGGGAACCATTAAAAGTCTGGGAGCACTGGATAGCTGTTTCGTCCTAGTATGGGACTCCTCAGCAGTACGCACACACGACCCGGCCAGGGGTCGAACTTAGGACCTTCAGGTTTCACGGCGAACGCATTACCCATTCAGCCTTTGGGTCGGTTTCCAGTGGTTCACAATTTCCAACTTCTGTCAATTCACGACATTGCGCGACTGTCACCCAAGGTCTTCAGTTAGCATCCACTTCACTTCCGACTGGTTGACCCCACAGGTCACGGCTTCTCATTAGAACTTCCTAACATCCATCTGGAAGCAAGTCACTAATGAGCACTATAGAGTAATGTATTTTTGAGATGAATGGGGATTTTTAATTTAGAAGTAGTATTCATCATGGATTGACGTCAGTTGGGGAGTCCCATACTAGGAAGAAACAGCTGTCCAGTGCTCCCAGATTTTCAATGGTTCCTCAACTGATGTCAGTCCATGATGAATACTACTTCTACATAGATTATTACCAAGTTGGGGGGGGGGGGTGAGGGGGGTATTCTGCACTATTCTCCTGCATTTTCAAACATCTTTCCATCTGATAACAGTAGTTGACCATAAAGTAATCAAGTGAATGAATGAAACTATACAAATGGATCCATGAGAAAAAAACAAACAATCATATCCAAATCAGGTTAGATAGACTTAACTGTCTTTCACTTACCAGAAACACTTCCCAAAAGTACAGTTCTACACAGAACACGAGTTCGTAATTTCATTTCTTTATCACGTTCACTGAAAACTTTCAATGTTGAAGATTTTTTAGACGGCCAAAAATAGTCACGTAAATAAATGATTAACTGTGTAACCTTAGGTGCACTTGTCCATTCGCAGGCCTTTGAAATTAGAGACAAAAACAAAAAAAAGGAGGAGGAAAAGAGTACTAACCGATTAAGAAGAAATTGAATGTAAAATTCAGTTGTTTCTTTTTTATAAATTCAAACATAAAATTGTTATGTGAATAAACAATCGATAGGAAAGTGTTAATTTGGTTGGTTGTGGCTGGCAGAAGAATCCAGGACGCAGGTTTCATCCTATTTGGGACTCATTAGCTGAATGTTCCTGCATCCCATTGGGACTCGAACCTCGTACGCATTGTTTCAAGCGTCAGGACTTTATCCACTATGCCATGGAGGCACGATACCCACTTTTTGTACAATGGGTGTTAGTTATTACTATTTATTGATATACTTATAAGTCTCCGTTGTTTTATTGGACCGAATTGTCTGATCTCTATTGACGTATGGGTTCTTATGCGGATGCCTCAATATTGCCTGAATATTTATCATGACAACTTACTTGGTTGCGGCTACCAGAGAAATCCAGGATGCACGTTTCGTCCTATTTGGGACCCGTCAGCCGAATGTATCTGCACTCCAGTGATGTTGTCTCCACTAAGACTCAAATCTTGTACTCATCGCTTCAAACACCAAGGCGTTATCCATTATGCCACGGAGGAACGACAGATACCTGTTGTTCAACGGGTGTTAGTTATTACTACTGCTAACTACAACCAACCTAATTACCATAATTAACATTCAAGCAATATTGAGGCATCCACATAGTAGCCTATATGCTAATAGAGGTCGAACTATTCGACCCAATAAAACAATGGGGAATTACAAGTATATATCAATAAATAGTAGTAGTCGATAAGAGTGCTTGAAATTAGAGAGGAAATTTGATTTCAACAAAATGTGAAGGAGTGGTCTTATAAAACAACCCAGTCTATGTCCCTAATTTTACTCTCATTATTGTCATTAAAAGGGAGGTTAATGTACCACATAGATCAATGGTTACATGTTCATTTGAATAAATGAACTAAACCAACAGAAATATAATCTTAAAGTAATTAAAGCTATGGTTCATAGGTTTAGGGAGTTGACCTTTAACCATGGAGTCATGGGTTCGAACCCCTCTCTACCTATCGAGGTTTTGGCAACTAGGCAGTAGAGTCTCCTTGTAGTTGAAAACCACTAATATAAATAGAGTACTAACTAGGCATAAGTAAGAAGGCTTAAACATCAAATGAACATTTTCCTCACTTAAAAAGGACCTGTTTAGCTCTATACTTGAATAGATATAGTTTAAAAAGGTCACCAATCTCCTCAAACCACTTGAACCTTGGCAAGCTGGCGAAACAAAACAATCTTATTTGAGATATAAACACGCAAAAGTATGAGAAGAAGAGGTAGAAACCATTGACAACTGAGATTATCGGCTACTATTAATTGAAGATGTCTAATCTAAGGAAGGAAGCGCCACCATCCGTGATCTATTTAGTAGGAATGGCTACCCAGACAAGTTTGTAACTAAGCATATGAATATTATGAGGGTTAAGACAAGAATGTCAACGCCAAGCAAATCTTCTTGAAGCTGAAATTCAAGAGTAACATTTCTACTGAAAACAGTCTTGTATAAAACCTTCCCAGCCGCTAAAATTATATCCCATCTTCTATAACCGCATGATTCTAGGTGCAGGAAATGAAGACATACTGCCTGATCCTGCCACTTCTGTATGTATTCATCAATTTAACTGCTTATGTGAAGCTAGTTATGTCGGGCGTACAATGAAACAGTTCCATTGTCGAATTTCTGAGCGTCAACCCATCATAGTTGAGCAAGGGACAAATTAGAACAAATAAAGAGCTCAATACTTGCATACCTAGTTGAAACTGGACATAAAGCGGATACCAGAAAAGCTTTCAAAATTATTCGTCATATTCCAATCAGTTTACCATTTGGAATACGCACTCGCTTACTTCACATAAGAGAGGCAACTGCAATCCACTTTTACAAGCACATCTAACTTTTGTATCCAAAAGAAGTTTGTTCGACCACTTTCATTACCGTCGCCGTCAATATGATGTAACTTCTAGGATTACTTTGTACACCTCTTCCTCTTCTTCCTGTTTCTATCAATATTCATTTGTTTTCTTAGTATTAAGGAATCAATTATGGTGAATGACTGAAAACTCATCAAAAACCACTTCATTTATCTAAGAATAACCTGCTTCATATTTTCAATTATAAAAACTCTATTGATTATTTACATCTTTATTTCTAAAATTCATCATCTTCATGAGTTACTTGAAATGTCTATGAGTATTGCTCACCAACCTCTCACCATTTGATTGGATTGTATACCGATGTCAGGTGAGTGCTTCTATATGGTTCAGAAACTTGGCGTGTTACGAAAGGCACTTTCAACAAACTACAGACATTCATCAACAACTGCCTACGCTGACTCGTTACTGAAGTTCAAATGGCCAGAAAAAATAAGCAACCAGGAACTCTGGCTGGCTGGCTATCAACGAACCGACGAAGCAAGAACCTATCGGTCAACAAATATGCAGTAGAAGGAAGTGGAGATGGATTGAACGTGCACTCAGAAGACTATTCGGGGACATCATACGCCAGGCCAGATACTCGAGTGGAACCCAGATGGGAAACCACAAGTTGAGCGTCCAAGGGTGACATGGAGATCATGTGAGGAAGAAACGAAAGCTTGTGGGCAGTCGTGGGCGAGGTTCAAAAGATCGCAGAGAACAGAGTAGCGTGGAGACGTGCTACTGAAGCCTTATGTTCCACTAGGAACCCAAACGACAAATAAATATTAGTGTAGAACTGAAAGGGAGGATCTAATTGAAAAGGAATATATTTCTTTGCCCGTTTAATGTAATTACGATAAGGTACTTGACAAGCGAAATGAATTTACTCCATTCGAAGTATGAAGGTAACAATCCAATAACAGAACTTCTGCGTTTATATACCATCTAGATGTCCTTAGACCGAATAGGCGAAATAGCATATTAAAAGTGGGAAAATAACCAATAGGAAAAGAGGATTCTTAATAGCGGTAAAATTGTGCGCTACATATGCGGCGCAAAACGCTTATTTTTTTGGAGGGAGGGGGAGGATATAACATGCCAAACATTTTGTTTTCTGAAAAAACTAACAGTGAACTTTGATAATCAGTTCCCCCCTAGTTATTCATTGAATGTTCCCTACATTTTATGAGAGTTGTTGAAGCGATTGCTTATACTCGTATTCGTGTTACTATGGTGATCGTGTTCAAGGAAATATTGGAAAGTTATCAATGAAAGTGAGAACAATAGGTTCCCAGGTTGCACGAAGTCCCGAAACCTCCTAGACACCAAATACAGCGGAACTTCAGAATGAAATCTGTATATAACTATTAGTGCGATAGTTCATGAGGCGCCTGTAGACTACTTTCATGTAAATTAGGCAGGATAGGTTGGAAACAATAGGTGAAAAGTAACCGAGCCAAGGCGTGTTTTCCATACTGACGATGTCAAGAACCAAAGACAAAACAATAAAAACTGGAGTGTCTAAGAGTCAGTTACAATGAAGCAGATAAATTCACACTTTATCTCTCAACAGATTTTGAATACTATAGTAGTCTAAATATGTAAAAGAAAAGCTATTTACCAATGCTGTTTAGACGGGCAGATCCACACTGAAGTACAATAGAATTAATCAGCGGCTATTGTGACTCATTAGTCTAGTGGATAACACTATGGAATTTAAAGCGATTGGCCCTGGGTTCGAATCTCAGTTTGAACAAAACTACTCGCTGTAAGGCAGGCACATACGGCTGATGAGCCCTGAATACGATGAAGCATGCATCATGGATTCCACTGCTAGGCACTGTCCATCATTAGAATCAAAAGGATGAGTGAAAGGGAAAAATGCTTCATCAAAATCTTCAAACTCGACAGCTATCCCAAAAGTTTTCATCAAGAGATGTCTTTCTAAACGGAGAAAATCGACTGCATAAAGTAACAGATGAAACATCTCCGCATGCATAAAGAGCATCTCAGAAACTACAACCGGATTATTATGTTTGTCAAAAGTTGTAGAACCACATTAACCAACAATGTGCGTATACATCTGCACCACTGACATCGGTTCTCAGCCATATCACCTAGAGTCAGTCTCCAACTACTGAATTCCCTTTTCCCGCACACCCCAAACAGCTAGTCTGCATCGCCCCACATGGCTCAAACCAATATTCAAACACTTCATACATTCATGTCATGTTTCAGTCTGGACACCTTGAGCCTTTTTCCAGCCTGAACCTACTTCGGACAACATTTTATGCTGAGGCAGACGGCAACTAGGCATGTGCAACACATGTCGGAGCCGGTCATCTCAGTCGATGAAGGTTCATAACCTCTTCTTCCTAAAACTCAACACCTGAGCCTGGCTTCTGCGTTACTCATGTGGTGACACCATGGAATACAGTCTATATTACGAAGACAATGGTGGTCAAATACCTGAAGCTAGCCTTCTCATTTCTTCCACCTTCAATGGCCATGTTTCACACCCATAAAGTAGAACAGACCGGACTGCTGTGCAGTAAACGCCAACCCTAATAGACACTGGGATATCACAGCGGAGCCATAGATGGCGTGAGTTGGCAAAAGCCAATCGAGCCTTTTGTATTCTTGTAGAGATTTCATTGGCCACTGAGCCAGCTACCAGGGCTGATCCCTCTTCCCAGGTAAGTGAAGTGGTCGACACATTCAACCACTACACTCTCTATTGTTAGCTGCAGTGGGGCACCGTTGAAGACCAATCCTGGAGCAACAATTTGCATTTGGGTAGTGAGAAACACATCCCAAACATTCTCAAATTGCCACCAAGAATGTGTGGAAGACTCTGCATCTGCGTATTTTAGGTCTAACGAAAATTCCTTCGTGATCAGGTCAACCTCTGTGTAATCAGGTGACGAGAGAGAGATTTACATAAGAATATCTGTGATAAAAACAATTAAGAATGGGCACCCTTGACAGACGCCCTCGACGAGCACGACTCCCCGGATATCTCACCATAGGCTCTTACACGCCCGCAAGTATTTGAGCAGAGAGCCATGAATAGGGTGATGTACTTACTCGGCACGCCCCTTCAGTGAGAGACATTGCCGCAAGACTTCTCGATCAAAGGAGTCGAATGCCCCTTTCAGGTCGAGAAAAAATCAGCGTATCGAATACCTCTCCAGTTTAAACCAACCAGCGAACAATAGGAAAGAAAGACCGTCAGGTTGTAGTATATCAACCAATCATCGTAAAGTGATTCCCCTTTACTACACAGGCAATCAACTAAATTCAGACAACCTTCGTCACTTCGGCCAGACGAAGCTGACGAATCAATCACAATGAAGCGATCTTAACATACTGCATGCCAGAAAAAAGTCAGCCAATGACGTGGTTGTAGATATCTTTGAAAAACTAGAGACAGAACATCAACCAATCAGGTTCAACATTAAGCCACATACCCACCAAACGACCAATCAAATTAGACTAAAACAAAGTAATACGTTATAAATATCCATGCACAACTAATCACTTCAATTTCTTTGTAAAACTCTGATGCACTGATGACGATGTCTAGTGTCATGTTTGCCGACTTAAAGAACATCGTAATCGAAACGTCCACATCCAGGGTTAGAAATGCAATCCACAACTTTTAGATGCTCGTAAACCGAGTAGACTGCAACGTAATGAATATTCACGTGGTATCGAGGGGTCAGAATAAGAGCTCATCTGTCAACGTAGGTCGAGTAATTTGACCCAGTATAGTAGAGGGAGATTACAAGTACCAATAAACATCAAGTGATAACTGTTCCACAAGAGACAACTCATGAACCTCAGTGGCCTAGTGCATAACTCTTTGGCATTTCATGTTTCGTTATGAGCAACATAACTCACTGGGGTTTAGGTACTCCCAGCTGACGAGTCCCGAACAGAACGGAACACGAGTAATGCATTCTACGTCAACCAACAAGTAGATCGCATTATCAACCAGTTGAAAATGGAATACTGAGATGAATTAAATTATACCTGAATGGTTTATTAAAACTAACTGGTTTGCGATTCCGCTCTACTACTGATTACCAGTTATTCTGGTTAATAACAAGGAACAGTATAAATGCAGTTGCGCAAATATTCATGCTCTAGAAGACGTCAAGGATTGGATATATCTTCAACCATGTCACCAAAAGTTCTTTCGTTCCGGTGACCCCAACCATTAAGTCTACATCTCCCTCTACAGCATTCAAACTAACAGTTAGGAAGTTCATCGATTAGTGCCATATCTTCTTCTAGCTACACTCCATCCCCATCTTCCAATCTAATCTTACTTCCCTTAGTAAGGCACGTCAAGGTAGGTGGTGATTCGGTTTGCGTAATACATATCCACTACATTTCAATCGACTAAGGTTCACAACCACATCAATCGATTTACCTCATTTGCCTAGTACCCTTCGCCTCACTTCAATATTCTTTATATGATGACTACCCCACACGCAAGCAACGCTAAAACGAGATCTGTGGTGAAACACATATTATTATTTTCCATTTCGTTCCTAGTGGAACATATAGCTTCAGTAGCACGCCTCCATTGCACTCTGTTCCCTGTAGTCTTTTGAATCTCGCTCCATGACTGCCCATAAGCTTTCATTTCTTCCTCAAGCGATCGTCTCCATGCCACCCTCAGCTGGGACGCCTAACTCGTTGTTTCTCATTTGGCTTCTAGTCGACGGTGTGGCGCCCTCAAATAGTCTTCTTAATGTATGCTCAATCCATCTCCACTTTCTTCTACTGCATATTTGTTGGGTGATTCATTTCCAGGTCAGAAATTCTTGTTGCTTATTCTTATCATTCTATCAGCTTCCATGTGTCCATCGAGATCCATTTCCTTGTCTTGTTTCCTCTTCCTTCCTAATACGGTTATGCAGGTTTCTTACCACATAGTTGTCAAAGAGTTCAGTGTTCTTTAACTCAGGTTCTTTTGATGAAACACACAGAATAGCTTTATATCTACTTTTAACGGATATGTCTCACAGCTGTACAACAGGGCCGAATATGCTGCTGTTTTGCTTGGCTGTCATGCAGCCAACGATAAATGTTAATCAAACCTCATACATACACAACAAAAACAGACATGAATATCGGAGATCTTTAAAAAAAAAGAAGCATATCAACAGTCAAATAGTATACCTTAGCAATAATCATCCTATTAACTCGAATCCCAAAAAATGTTTGAAATATTTTACGTAGTATAGCAAAATTTCCTTGTCTAGTGAATTGACCTTCTCGGTGTAAATCGAATATTTCATCGACTAGAAGAAATAAAATTCGAATAGGAGTTTCATCTCCACTAGTCTGGTAAAATGTTTAGTAGAAAGAAAAAAGAAAACACATACATAAAATCATAAGTATATTTGTAAAATAAAACAATAGACAGTAACTATCAATTGTATATGAATGGAAATCTCTGTAATGATGTCTAGTACAACGCTATTGAAGTACTGACTAAATAAACAAACCCAACCAATGAAAATGGGGTCTCAAGTGAATATAGAGAAGACGGAGGTGATAAAGATATCCAACCAACAACAAGCACTATGAACGGAGAAACCTTAAGGAAGTAGTCTCTTTTACCTATCTGGCTGAGCAACATCTTTTCAACTACAGTCAGTGGCACAGGCAAGGATGTTAAAACCAGAATCGGAAAGACAGAAAGACAAGCCTGACTGCATTAATCTGAAATCAGTGTGGAAATCAACTGCATTCAGCACAACGAACAATATCCGGATTTTAAACATCAATGTCAAGTCAGTGCTGCTTATGTGATGGTTGAGAAACTTGGCGTGTCACGAAAAGCAGTTCCAACAAACTACAGACAATCGTCAACAACTGTCACCTACGCTGGCTAGACTTTGAAGATCAGATGGCCAGAATAATAGGAATAAGCAACAAAGAACTCTGGGAACGAAGCAAGAACCTATCACTCAACAAATATGCAGTGGGAGAAAGTGGAGATGGATTGGGCATGCACTGAGAAGACCATTTGGGGACATCAAGAGCCAGGCCAGGCCCTCGAGTGGAAATCAGATGGGAAACGATGAGTTGGGCGTCCCAGCTGAGGATGATATGGTGGAGATCGTGTGAGGAAGAAATGAGATCTTCTACGCAGTCGTGGAGCGAGGTTCAAAAGACTGCAGAGAAGAGAGTGAAGTGGAGACGTGCTACTGAAGCCCTATGTTCCACTAGGAACCCAAGGGAAAAATAATAATAATAATAACCAACTGTAAACATCTATTCAATAACGAAATAAAGAGTAGAACATAAATATGAGACAAAATGTCGACAAATACCAACAAACATGAAATTTTGGAGAATATGCGTAGCTCAGGTGGGTGGTCTTGGTTGTATTGTGTTCTTTGAGCTCAGAGAACACAACACAACCAAAAACATGAAATCTAGATAGTGGATGGCTTCTTGGTGAATGGCAATAACACTAATCGAACTTACTTTATGATACTGAGTTAGGTCAGGCATGACTGTGTAACGGTTTGAAGTTGCCAAACCTCTTGACTGATAGCTGCCACCTTGATGTGGTGGTCGGCCTTGTAGATAACGATGACCTAACGAGCTATGCTGGTGGAATGATATTTCCTTCGAGATTCTACCATACCACACAAAAAGCAGTTATCGTTATCCTTAACATGTTCTCAAACAATGAGATGATGCATTATGGTGACTTGTACCAGTCATCCATCAGAGTTGATCGAAAACCACAGGAGATATGTCCGACCACAACTTCCATAATACAGGTCATTTTCAGAACATCGAAATAGCCGTATGTGGCCGGATTCTAGCAGATGTCTATTAGACTCTTCAATTATGCACTAACCCTCCTTTTTCACGTACCTCACGGTATGGGCAACCAGAAAGTGTCAACTGTCCTCACAACTCTATCGGCGCTCAAATTCGCTCAGACCACTAACCACCTCTCTCATCCTTAACTTCTAATCTTCCTTAACGTCTCTTAGTTACCAATCCTACATCATCTTTTATTTCCATCTGAGTCCACAGAACGGAATCTTCTGTAAACAATACATGTAAGCTATCCAGTCAATCCTACAGATCATTTGCCGCCTGAATAACTCACTGGTAACGTTTGAATTGGTAGATACAATAGCATGCAAATTGTCATCCACATGCTGTGGGAGTTTGGGGGAATATACGAGCTTTCTGGTTTCTATCAATCGAGCCCTTCTATAACAGTAGCGTTAAATCTCTGCTTAAGAATTGCACTATGACAGTCACCTTTGTATGGAAGACTGATGAAAACATCCTTCTTTGGGACAAACTGAAGACCTAATTTTGGCGCTCTGATAAATATTGATGGATAGTTATTTTCGAACAGAATATCACTCAGTGTTTCTCTTTCATCTTCTAAAGTATCCTCTGTACATATTCGTTGAATTATGGTGAATAAGCACCTAATTAACGCTTGCTTGTACTGAACTGGACAAAAGCTATGATCATACAAATATACCCCTGTCCATGGAGGTTGTCTGTAGATAGATCGTTTTATGGATCCTTCTGCCCACCGACTAATTAATATATACAAGAATGGCAAACAGTCATCTTCCTCACCTACGCATGTCAAGGATATGCTGTTCTACACTTCGTTAAATCTGTTTAGAATTGAAGTGGAGAATGGACAAGGAGAATTACCTGTGTTGGATTGCAGAATAAAAGGAAGAACAGACAGCGGTTTGGATACTACCGTCTACAGGAAACCAATACATTCTAACAGGTATCTGGACTTCAGATCATCTCATCCAATGTCAATAATGGAGCTAATGTGAGGATTTAAACAAGGAATTGAAACATATAAAACAAGCCTTAATAATTAAGAAATTTTTACGAACACATAAGAAACAAAATAATCACAGTAACACAAGTGGAAAGGAGTTCATAGTTTCCATGAGGAAAAAACGTCAGAAACTTAACGTAGTATTCTCAAGAAGCCTGGAGGTCGAGTGGTAGTTAAACCTACAAAATCACTCAGAGATTAGCTTTGTCGCCTGGCTTAAGAATCTGATAGAATCAATTAAGCAAAATAGTCTAATCTATCAAATTCCATGCGATGACTGTGAGGTGAAGTGTATAGGTCAAACTAGCCGATCGGGGTCAGTTAGATTATCAGAACATATGAAGTTAGCCAAATACAGAGTGCTGAACGCCAATAGGATCAGCAATCTAGAAAAAAAACTCGGCTACTTGAATATATTTCGATAACGTAATTACAAGGCGAAGTCTATCTGAACAACGTGATGCGCTTACGTAATACATTCCGAATAATCTGACCCCCTCATACACACATTTATTTGTCTCAAGTCAATGTATATTAAATCAAGGAGTGGAGGGAGAAGTACAACAATTAACACAATAGGGGATTAAAATTAAGATTGATGAGAACAAACAAGAAGAGTGGCATGGTTGATCCTAATCTTGGTAAGAAAACAAAGTTTACCGAGTAAGGTAGGTGTAGTGTAAGACAAATTGTTTTTCTACACATAAAGGTGGTTTCAATTTGTGTATGGCTATGGCTTCCGTGAATGTCAGAAAACGTCCCTGACTATTTCTATGTAAATCTTTGAATATTAACATTGTAACCTGTTTCTATGATATATTTAGTTATAGATGAAAAGGATCGTCTCCCACCAGCGTTTATCACGGTTTCACACTCCATTTGCTTTTGAAGCTACTTAGGTATATGTTCTCCCACCCTCAACTGCATGACTCGATTACTCCTACCTATATGTGTGGGTGTGACCACTTCACACACACACACATACACACACACGCACACACACACACACACACACTTCATATATCTGCTAAAATAAAGGTGGAATTAAACTCATTGTACTTCAGTCCGATATAACTAGGTGAAGAGAGATGGAGAGATTGATTATTGAATCTTTCTTCGTCAAATCAACACGAAGCCAACACATGTAACAGGAGTGACGCAACACCTTTACCCGAGATACGGAAAATTTTGATACCACTCAGCACAAAGAACAAGATCCAGATTTCAAACATCAATGTCAAGTCAGTGCTGCTATGTGATGGTTCAGAGACTTGGCGCGTTACGATAAGCATTTCCAACAAACTACAGACATTCATCAACAACTGCTACCTACGCTGGCTAGACTCTGAAGATCAGATGGCCAGAATAATATGAATAAGCAACAAGGAACCAACAACCTATCACTCAACAGATATGCAGAAGGAAGCGGAGATGAATTGGACATGCACTGAGAAGACCATTTGAAGACATCAAGCGCCAGGCTAGGCCCTCGATTGGAAACCAGATGGGAAATGATAAGTTGGGCGTCCTAGCTGAGGGTGATATGGAGGAGATCGTGTGAGGAAGAAATGAGAGCTTATGGGCTGTCGTGGAGTCAGGTTCAAGTGAGTGGAATAGAGACGTGCTACTGAAGGTGTATGTTCCACTAGGAACCCAAGGGATAAATAAGAATAATAATAATAATAAGAGTAAAGAATATGAGGTGATCGAACTATAAAAGAATAAAAGGCAGTTGTCGAAAGGTGTTGGATGACATTGATATGATAATGTAGGCAATAACTTATACTCAAAATGTCATCAAGTAAATAATATGGTATCATAATACTTTGTAAGGTTGCCTACTATCCCCCATGATATTCCTTATTGTGGTGGACTGGATCATGCAGCAAACAGTAGGCAGCGAGAAGAGGGGATACACTGGACGACGGAAAAGAACCTAGAAGACTTGGATTTCGCCAAAGATGACTTATGCCTTATGTCACATAAACTTGAAGATCTGCAGGCAAAAACTAACAAGTTGATAGAAGAGGCAGCTAAGACGGGACTTCAGGTGAATATAGAGAAGACAGAAGTGATGAAGATACCGCACCACCACCATCAACAACAACAACAAACTCCAATCACCGTCAACGGGAGAAACTTGAAGGAAGTAACCTCCTTCACTTATCTAGGAAGCACTGTTTCAACTACAGGCGGGACGGACGAGGACGTCAAAGTCAGAATCGGAAAAGCAAGACAGGCGTTCATTAGCCTGAAACCAGTGTGGTGATCTTCTGCACTCAGCATGTGGAACAAGATACGGATTTTCAACACCAACGTCAAGTCAGTGCTCTTGTACGGCTCAGAGACTTGGCGCGTTACGAAAGGCATTTCCATTAAACTACAGACATTCATCAACAACTGCTTACGCTCGCTGCTGAAGATCAGATGGCCAGAAAAAATAAGCAACAAGGAGCTGTGGGAACGAACCAACCAAGAACCTATCGCTCAACAAATATGCAGGAAGAAGTGGAGATGGATTGGGCATGCACTGAGAAGGCCGAATTGGGACATCACGCGTCAGGCTAGGTCGTCGAGTGGAATCCCCATGGGAAGCGACGAGTTGGGCGTCGGTGCCGAGGGTGACATGGAGGAAGTCGTGCGAGGAGGAAATGAGAGTTGTGGGCTGTCGTGGGACCAGGTTCAAAAGATCTCAGAGAACAGAGGTCACTGGAGGCGTGCTACTGAAGCCCTATGTTCCACTAGGAACCCAATGGACTAATAATAATAAATAATAATAATACTTTGTGCTAGTCATATCAAATAAATAAACAGAATAAAACATACACTCACTATATCATATGAATCGTTACTCTTAGTTGTAGATGTTTCCAAAGAAGATATATCCATTGTTTCTTGTAGTTCATAATCTCCATATTTTTTGATCATTTCATCATTACCATCAGAGGAGAGAAGAGAATTATTAACACTTGAAATATTTTTATTCCCTGTAAAATTTTATTTAAACCATCTGCTAAAGTATCCGGTACTGACATAACAGCATTGCCAACTGTTCGAAATGGTGTTAATAATGCCGACATCTATATAATACAATGATAATTAATTGAGGAAATATATAAAAATTTATCAATTATAGTAGAGTGTTTAAAGATTATTAAAAGTAACTTCAAAATGTGATAGTCTAAGAATCAAGTAATTTGGATCATGTAATTAGCAGACGTAGATTATCTGAAACCTGTGGTGATGTATTGGAGCTATACACATTTCGAACAATCTGATCCCCCACACACACACTCCACATATTTACTTGTTAAGGCAGTATTATGCATGAAAACTGGAAGTGGGGGAAGGACAAATATGTATGATATAAAGGAATTCAATGATAAGAAAGATAATGAAAGGAGATAAAAAAAGATAAGACTTGAAGAAAATCTTCGTAATACAATAAAAGAAGCATTACCAAGGTAGGCTTTATGTAAAGACAAACTGTTTTTGGCACACACAATGGGCTTATTTACGGTTAGCGCCTCAACAAACTTAAGTATACACCCCTGAAAGTTTCTATATAAAATGGTAAAGGTTTGTTTTAATATCAATCCTGTGACTCTTATCAATGATGTGGATATGGATGATAGTTGTCTGCCATTTGAGCTTATCAATGTTTGTGAATCCAGCTACTTTCGTAGCCATTTTAGAACACGTTCCCTCCTACCCTCAAGTGTATATCACGATTAGTCTTCCCTATGTATGTTTGTCCAAACACACCGATGTAAATTTATAAAAGCAGTGAGATGTATGGTAACGCGATGTAAACTTCCTATTTGGGACTAGTCAGCTGGATGTACCTGCACCCCAGTGATGCTGTTCCCACTGAGACTTGAAGCTCGTACCCATCGCTTCAAACAGAGAATAACAAGTATGTCAATAAACAGTAATAACTACGACCGGTTGTACAAGAAGTGCCTATCATTCCTCTGTGGTATAGTGGATAACGCCTCGATGATTGAAGCGATGGGTACGAGGTCCGAGTCTCAGCGGGAACAACGTGCACTAGGGTGCAAGTACATCCAGCTGACGAGTCTCAAATAGGAAGAAACGTGCGTCCTGGATTCTTCTGCTAGCCACAACCAACCAAATTATCGTAATTGACATTCAGGCAATAGCAAGGCATCCGCATAGGAGCCTATATGCCAATAGAAGTCGAACAATTCGATCCAACAAAAAACAACAGAGAATGACAAGTATGTCAATAAATAGTAATGAAAGTTAAATAGCTTAAAATAGACGCGAATAGATAGTGTCATACCAAGCCAGGAAACTGATAGATGAACTTTCTGTATCGTATGGTGAAATATGTATAGACAGACTGGTTGGGGTACCCGAGACGATAGGAATGAATGGTTGGAAATTGGTCACTCCATGACATCTAAACCTTGAATATTCGGACTAATCTTTATCTTCAGATTGTCTATTGACTCACACAACTTTGTCGACTGTGATATCACCTTTTTTCGATCCATTTCTTCTTTGTATGCTATTACGAAGTGATACAAGTTTAACCGATGGACTTGTGTACCAGGTTCTATGTAGATTCTTTTCATTTGTGTATCTGCATAACTCACCGATTACATCATATGTATAATTACCAATCTTAAAATCTCAGCTTGAAAGGCAAAATAAAATGATTATGAATTGATTATCCCATAAAGGACATGCTACTGACATACAAGATGCGTTGAAAGTATGCGAATAGCATATGTATCAGAATCTCTTGTTTCCCCTTTACATGAAACTTCAACTTATTTTGTGTATTCAAAGGGAATATAGTTGTCAGTGTTATCCAGCTGAAATGATACAATTCTCCAAGATATACATCGAAAACTTCAACCAATTAAAGCACTTTCAGTGAAAGTGCTGAACTCTTATTTTTCTAAAAGAAAACAGTATACTGTCTATAAAGTCAGGTATTCCATTTCATTGGTTACTGGAGCTGGTACGTGTCAAGGTGCAGTACTTTCTCCGTTTCTGTTTCCATTCTTTCTGTATGACTTACCTTATTCTGTTGGAGGTAATTTTATTCAGAATGCTGATGAATTGATTGTGTCTATTTCAGTCAACTCTCACTTACCTAAAGTATACAGCAAATTACACAGGAAGACTTTCGGATTTGTTTCCAAGAAAGTTCAATACACATGCTGTTCACAAAAGAATATACTATCTTGGTGAAGCATTCGCAAAGAAACACACTGAGTTATACTTGGTGCTGAGTTTTAAGACAACACTATCACCAATATTACAGGCTATCTCAGATTCTGTCTCGATATCTGCTGTCAAGCTTAAACAATCTTTATGAGATTTAACAAACTTCCCTCTCCTCATTCCAGGAGACTCGAGAGAGGAAAGGAAAGGTTGTATAATACGAGAAATCACTCTGCCGTTAAAAGACTTAACTGCCCAACCAAGTCTGAAATACAACGTCTGAATACTATTTACAATCAGAAGTTTCTATCATGTAAGAACTCTTCCAATATATGCGAATTATTTAAGGAGCTTGGTGGTCGAAAACAGAAGCTTGTTTTCATATCTGTGCTTTAAACAAGTTATTCATATGTGGACAAGTTGACTTCATACTTCCTAATGTCCATAGTCAAATGGACAGCTGCATTCCAGGTTTTAATACACACGATGTATTTAAATGTCTTAAATCTGTGAATCCATTCCAAAGCTTAGATTCCTGATGGTGTTTCGAGTATTATATTTAGAAAGAGTGCAGATATTTTATATCATCCTCTTACAGATACCTTCAATGGATCGTTTTCTAAAAACATGAAATCCGATGCTTCAAAGGAGGTCAAAGTTGTACATGTGCCTAAGTCATCTTGTGGATCAGATGTTAGACTTCGACCCATTACTATAACTTCCCCTGAACCATCATTGAAGGCTGTCAGAGAACCAAAAAAATTTGCTTACAAATGCAGGAGAAGTACTTTAGATGCTGCCACTGTCTTGCATCATAATATTGTTTCTAGTCTCGACAAAAGTGTTCAGTATGTTCGTTGTGCCTTTTTGGACTACTCATCGGCCTTTGACTCTGCTCCTAGACTACTTTTGTTAAATAAGCTTGCCGTGGCTCATACAGAACCTTGGGTTGGAAAGTGGCTGTTTTCTTATTTCTCTAAAAGAAAACAGTATACTGTCTATAAAGTCAGGTATTCCATTTCATTGGTTACTGGAGCTGGTACGCGTCAAGGTGCAGTACTTTCTCCGTTTCCGTTTCCATTCTTTCTGTATGACTTACCTTATTCTGTTGGAGGTAATTTTATTCAGAATGCTGATGAATTGACTGTGTCTATTTCAGTCAACTCTCACTTAGATTGTCTCCTATTGACCGATGGTCTCAAGTTTAAACTCTTCTAAATGTCAGACTGTTAATTTTAGCCTCAGGAGGAGATAAGACTTGGGTGAGTTGCTTACATCTCATGACGCCTGTTACAGTACTGATAGTATTTCTGCACAAAGTAAATCGAGTGTTGACTATCTCAGAGTGAGTTTTACTTCTCATCTTTGTTGGTCGTCTAGTACACTGGTGACTTGTGAAAAAAATCTTTCGTTTAACTTATTACATAAAGAAATTGAGACTCTCTGGTATAACTCAGTCTGTCCACTTTTACAATTTATCAATTCCTGCATTTCCCCTATTCTTCCTCTGTATTGTTCTCCATCGATGTTTCCTGGTCTACTAAAATGGGGCTATATTATAATCTGTAAGGGGATTTGAAAGCCGTCAGTCAGTAGGGTGACTGGTGTATCTATCTCTGGCCCAACTTATTAACACTGTAGTTGATAGACATTTGAACTGTAGCAAGGCAATTAGCTATAGTAATTTTAACTGACACTGAGCATCCACTTCATTCACAGCTCCATCTCTCCTTGAATCTCCTCAAGAGGAGGAGGGGGGCAAGGTAAATTACAAACGATTCTGTAGGCTCTTACAGTCAATTAAAAGAATTCAACTGTGTCTACCTTACCTAACATGCATATGATATGAGGAGAAAAGGGATGTTAGAATAGAACTCACATATATCAACTTTGTAACAGTTAACAATCTCATTCCAATAGTTTGATTAACAATGTAAAGGAGTGTATACATACACATATATGATGTTGTTGTTAGAATATATCATGGTGAGAAATCCAATTGTGAATACTCTATCTGGATGTCTGTGGAGGTGTGTAATAATTTATTTTAGGTTGAAATTCATAATGGACTGACGTCAGTTGGAGGATTATTGGAAACCTTGGAGCACTGGATAGCAGCTGTTCCGTCCGTGTATGGGACTCCTCAGCAGTATACATCCATGAACCCGCCACCCAGTGGCCGAACCCATAACCTTCAGGTTCCGTAGCCAGCACGTTACCGTTGAGCCACTTGGTCGGCAGAATCCAACAGTCCACATTTACTACTTCTGTCAGTTCACTACGTAGCGCGATGTCGTTATTGAGTAACTGTCCTCATGTTTGACTTGGTTGACTCGACCGGTCACGACTTCTCACCCGAATTTCAAGAATCACCTATAGAGGCTAGTCATCAATGAGCGCTGGAAGTAGGAAATGTGGACAATTGGCTCAATGGTAACGTGCTGGCCATGGAACCTGAAGGTCCTGTGTTCGACCCCTGATGGGGTGGGATCATGGGAGTGCACTGCTGAGAAGTCGTATACCAGGACGAAACAGCAGCTGTCCAGTGCTCCAAGGTTTTTATGCGTTCCTCCAAATGATGTCAGTACATGATGAATTCTAACCTAAAGTGAGTTTAGCACAAAATGATTAATGTTGATTGTAGTTGAATGATTCTGACGGTATTGTGTTCTTTGAGCTGGTTGATTAACTCCTAGGGCTTTAACTGTCATTCTATACAAGATTGTTGGCAGCAACACAAACAGAAAGCAGTGAGGTATAAGATTTTCTCGACAACTGTCTTAGTCGTTTGTCATAATGACTGTGAGTGTGATTAGTTGTATCCGTCAAAATCTCGTCATTACCTTCACATATATTTCAATTGGTTGTCTTGATGATGTGAACTTTGACCTACCTTGACGTTTCTTGGGTTGCCTATTGGTTGATAGATTAGTACAATGTTAATTTGTCTATTGGTTGCTGACTGATTATTGACACTTAAATTTATGTACTAAATAATACATCAGTTTAATTAAAAACAGTAGAGACTTACTATACGTGCTTGAACACGATCTCCTTCCCAGCTGTCTGGTTGAAGAAATTGAATACACAATGGTCGACTAGCTGGATGAATAGCCCAGAATTCAGTGCTACACAAAGTCTAGTTTAATGAAAGTATAGCGATGTAGTTAATGATGATACATTTGACGTTTATAAACATTCAGTATTTCACATATGTTGAAAATGTTATTACTTTTAGAAAAACATTTAATTACTGATTATCTATATGTTACATACATACAGTACGAAGCCTCCTTTCGGAAGCCATACATTCAGACGTGGTGGTTGTTGCAGATGATTTCAATGACCAGGTGGATAGATTGAGTGAGGCAGAAAGTCATATAGGTGGCACTTTCGGAATCCCGACTGAACGACATACTGCAGCTATGCTCACATTACTGATTAAATTTAGCTAGAACTGAGCCTCGCTGAGCTGTGAAACATGGCCTTAGAAGGTGGAAGACATGAGCAGGCTGGCTTAAGGTGTTTGACCACTGTTGCCTTCGTAGTAAAGACCGTGTACCGTGGTGTCACCACGTGAGTGATGCAGATGTAGAGTTTTAGGAAGAAGAGGTTATGAACCTTCAACGACTGAGATGACTAGCTCCGACATGGGTTACGTATGCCTAGTCACCGTCTGCCTCACCACACAATGTTGACCGTAATAGGTTCAGGTTGGAAAAAGTCTCTAGGTGGCCAGACTAAAACATGACATCAGTGTATGAAGTGTTTGACTGCGAAGTCTTTGACTGTTGGTTTGAGCCATGTGGGGCGATAAAGACTAGGTGGTTGGGGTCCGCAGAACAAGACGAACCAGTGGTTGGAGACTCTAGGTGAGGGTATGGCTCAGAACCGATATCAGTGGCGCAGATGTATCTCCACACACATTATCCTCATCTTAACGACACTATACCGAATCTCACCATTTTCTCATTCTTCCTTTCTCTCTTTTAGTACTCTTTTAGTATTTCTTTTGACTGAATTTTCTCATTTTAATCTTCCACTTGACTGACGTTTTAGTTGATGTAGTGATATGAGGTGTGGCAACTTGAACCGTTACGCAGTAATGCCTGACTCTATGTTGATTTGAATGGATGGATGACCTCTATTTGAAACACGCTGTAACTTACACAACAATAATTAAACTATATCTAATATTGTTGTCAATTATATCTCTCTTGTTCTGCTTTGATGCATTTCGTTGTTCATTACGGTTGAATAGAAACGGAACCTGGCTACGGTAGAGCATACAGAAATACACTATAGCAAAGGGCAGGCAGGCAGACGACTAAGCTGTACAAGGTGATTCTAATAGGGTTACGTATTATTCATAGCCAGAAGGAATATCCTTCACGTGTCTATATTTTTATTCTCATTCACTGACATTCTGATTGGGCCGCCTACGCATTGAACGAGTGACTTTAGAGATCACCCTAGCAACTTATGAAACAACCAACTACGTTTCTCTATTCTATGAAAAATTTTCTTCCCAACCAAAAAAAAGGTAGTGTGATTGGTTATTTTCACAGTTGTCAAGGTGGCCTTGATCACTTCCCATATGTTTTGTATAGGGTTAACCATCTAACGTTTGAGTTACTTTAAAAGCCACCCTAGCAATTGCTGAATAGACTAATCAGGTTCCGACATTTTGCCTGAGTAAGCACATTTCCATGAACTAAAGGAATGTAATTAGCCGTCTCATTAATCACCCTAACTTCATCTTGTCTCTGAGTCAGCTGGTCTTGTGCTAGTGACTGCAGGATCAACTTAGAAAAAGTTGAGGAATGATAATAGTTAGGACCAGGATCAGAGTTAGATAATCTCCTCATCTGTCAACCGGAGTGGCTGAAATCCACTCTAGCAACGATCAAAATAACCAATTAGCTTTCTTTATTTCGGCTGGAAAAACAGATTTTCATAAAATAACGTATTTTATAACGTAATTTTCAGTCTTCGATGAATAACAACTTGAAGTATTTTAATTGGTCATTTCAGTTGTTGCTAGGGTGGTCAACAAAAGTTATCCTGCAATAAAAGCTCAATAAATAAAGTTTTTAAATCATTCAACAGCAAAACTGATGCTAAAGATGAGCAATCTTTTATAGAATAAGAGACCTACTTTCAAATAGATGTTTAGTCCACGACGACGTTGTGCCAAAAATTCAGGGCTCATATTATTGAATGCCATTTTCGAGGGTAATTTCAATTCAGTAATGCGACCGCACTGAGAAAAAGAGAGCATATAAAAATATTCGTTAAAATACAACATGGATATGAATGATGAACAATGGATAGTTGTAGAATCCAAGTGTTTCGTCCCATTAGGGACTCTTCAGCTGGATGTCCCTGTTCCAGCTAAGACTCGGACCAAGGTGAAATCGTTTCAAACGCGAGCATTACTAACTACGCCACTGAACCACCATAACCACTCATTTCAGCATAATATAATTGGGAGGACATAAGCTTATAAATCGGCATCGTTGGTAAGACCGAATTGATTAGTCTCTATTGGTATATGGTCACCAGAGATCTCATCAAAATTTCCTCTGACCGGCTATTATGTTATATGCAAGTGCGAATTCTATCCAATGGAATATGATATATGATTTTGTACGCTTTGGTCTTGTCTATAACATTGCCATTATCGTTCAAATGCTACAGAATTGAACTGCATATTGACTTCACTTGTCCATTTTCTAGCGATGACAAGAAGTGCTAAGCAAAACGTTTGTTAAGCTGTCTAGTTGCACGCTCAATATAGCTTTCCTTATAAAAGCAACTGAAGTGATAAATGCACATAAGTAGTAAAATTGAATAGCTTGTCTTTTGTCTGAGCAACAATCATTAGTCGACTAGAAAATGATCAACAAAGGTTAGCAGTATAGAAAGTTCATGTATAGAAGCTGTAGACGGCCTCTAGAATACAACTTCATCAGGTGTATCCCCATTAAATTGTACCTTCATGAATAATAATTTCTTTTGAATAGTCAGTTGTTCAGATTTCTTACTCATTTCGTCCATATGTCTCTCTTGATAAAACTATGGTGGTAACCCATTTCCATAAGCATATTGTCAATATGCTCTCATCATCATCATCATCATCATCAACAGATGACCAGGCATTACTGCGTAACGGTTCAAGTTGCCACACCTCACATCACTACATCAACTAAAATGTCAGTCAAGTGGAAGTTGAAAATGAGAAAATTCAGTCAAAGAAATACTAAAAGAGTACTAAAAGAGAGAAAGGAAGAATGAGAAAATGGTGAGATTCGGTATAGTGTCGTTAAGATGAGGATAATGTGTGTGGAGATACATCTGCGCCACTGATATCGGTTCTGAGCCATACCCTCACCTAGAGTCTCCAACCACTGGTTCGTCTTGTTCTGCGGACCCCAACCACCTAGTCTTTATCGCCCCACATGGCTCAAACCAACAGTCAAAGACTTCATATATTGGTGCCATGTTTTTTCCAGCCTGGACCTACTTCGGCCAACATTGTGTGACGGGGCAATTGGCGACTAGCCGAACGTAATACACATCCCAACCATCTCAGTCGATGAAGGTTCATAACATCGTCAACTGATTTACCTCGTCTCCTTAGACCTCTACGCCTGACGTCTGCATTACTCACACGGTGATACCACGATAAAAGGCCTATACTACGAAGGCAACGGTGGCTAAACACTTGAAGCCAGCCTTCTCATGTCTTCCACCTTCAATCGCCATGTTTCACAGCCATACACTAGAACAGACAGGACTGCTGTGTGGTTCACGCCACCCTTAATAGATAATCGGATATCACGGCGGCGCCATAGGTGGCGCAAATTGGCAAAAGCCAGTCGAGCCTTTTGTATCCATGCAGAGATTTCATCGGCAACTAACCCACCAGGCTGATCCTACTTCCCAGGTAAGTGAAGTGGTTAACACAATACAACCAAGACCATCCACCTGAACTACAAATATTCTCCATCATTTCAACACTCAACCACTACACTATATATTGTTAGCCGCAGTGGGGCACCTTTGAAGACCAATCCTGGAGCAACAATTTGCACTTAGGTGATGAGAAACGCATCCCAAACATTCTTAAAATTCCACTCAAAGTGTTCAGAAGACTCTGGCATCTATATCCTTTTGCATCAAATCATCAGAGCAGAGCCTTTTGGCTCTGCTTGGAAGACATTCCACTAAGCTTCTTTTACAGGGAATAAGGAGAAATCTAAGGAAATGTATGTACTGACTCGTAGATGTGGTCTTCTGTACACCATTCTACTGAGTGGCCTATCACCTCTTCGAATCAATAGGACATCCAAAAGATGTAGCATATTTTCATTATTGTTCTTCACAAGTGAAAGAGATAAATAACTTGAAAGATAAATCCAACTTCCACCACCTTCCTTTTCTCCACCCTTTTCGTACTCATTTTTACTTGCTTAAACTTTGATTATTTACATATTTCATCCTTTACTATTACGTAACTTTGGTTTCTCCTAAGTTTTAATCTACACGGATTATATAAATGTCTGCAATAACATGCTGTTCCCATCATTTTTATCATTACTGAGATTATTATCATTCTGACTATCTGAGATAGCAGCCGCGGTTTGGCAGACCAGTATTTATACTGGGTGATGATTGAAAGTGGAATGAAAATCTGAACCACAGTAATTGGGCTAAACCCATGGTGATTGGAGTGAAATTCAGATCTGCCCACCTATCGGGCCTCGTAGTTCAGTTAGTAGAGCATTGGGTCACAAACCCGGTGGTCACTAGTTCGAGTCCCACAGCGATCCAAATTTTCATTTCATCTGACTAAGCAGCCACTGTATGATCGAGTGATAGTAACGCATCATGAATTCATATGGTAGTCGGTCAAAACCCCACCTTGTGATTGAAATGAAATTAAAATGTGATCTACCGTCGGAACTCGTAGTTCAGTTGGTAGAGCATCGGCCTGAAAACCCGATGGTCACTGGTTGGAATCCGGTGGCCGCGGTTCAAATTTCCATTTCACCTTCAATCATTACCCGGTATCAATTAAAATAAGTAGAGGATTAAAATTAAGAAAGATTAGAACAAAAAGGAAAAGTGGTATAACTCATGCTAATCTCAATAGGTTACCCGTTGGTTAGGTAATTCCACATCTCTATGGATTGCTAAAAAATGCATAAAGTAGGATTACTCCTTCGACCGATTTTGGATATGTCAGGTTCTCCTTATCTCATTGCATCCCTCAGTAGTTAGCTGAAATACTGGAACCGGTCAGAAGAGAAGTGTCTCGTTGAGTTTATTGGTAACATTAAGGATGTTGACACCGGTACGGTTATATTTTCCTTAAGTATTACCTCATTCTTCACCAGTGTACCACTCACTGGAAATTGTTTGTTACATATATGATTTCATCAATTCATACAATATAGAAGCAGGAATTCCAACAAACTACTTGAGGGTATGATATTGATGAGATGTGTGCGATTTAGGTTTCGATGGTGAGGTATGCCAGAAAAATGATTGGTTTGCAATGGGATCCCCCTACTGGGGCCTCTGATAGCAGATTGTTAAAAATAGAAAAATTCTAATCTTATCCAAACTATTAATCATTTTGACATCCAGGCTGGAAAAAGGCCTGAGGTGGCCAGACTAAAACATGGCACCAATGTATGAAGTCTCTGACTGTTGGTTTAAGCCATGTAGGACGATGCAGACTAGGTGGTTGGGGTCCACGGGACAAGAGGAACCAGTGGTTGGAGACCCTAGGTGAAATGGCGCAGAACCGATGTCAGTGGCGCAGATGTATACACACATTATCCTCATCTTAACAACGCTATACCGAATCTCACCATTTTGTCACTCCTCTTCATCCTTCACCTCACTACCTTTTTACTCGATGCGCGGAGGTGTGGCAACTCGGACCGTTACGCAGTAATGCCTGGTCCTATGTTGATAATGATGATGATGATGACATCTATAAACGAATTATGAATGATATATTCGTTATTTGTAACTCAACATCGATCTGGATGACACCTTACACAAGTTCAACAATTGTTACTCAGAGTTGGAATTTACTGATAGAAAGAGAATTGGAATCAACTATTCCTTTCTTGACAATGGAACGCTAAAAAAAAGATCCATCTACATAAGAAATCCACTTGAAACAGACACCATATTAATTTCTAAAGTTGGGTGCCGATCATGAGAAAAAAGAAACTCATCCATCATCTGCTATCGAATAAGCAGTATATATAGATAGCATAGACTATACGCAAGTTAAACTCGATTTTCTAAGAGGGATACTTGCAGAAAACCACTGTCGTATCGATTTATCGTTAAGAATATGTGAGAAATACATTTGAAACCAGTCATCAGTTCAGTTTCTAAAATAAACCTTTATTCATGAATTTGGAATTTAAAAGTGATGAAGTAACAGATATCCTGAAAAATCGTCTTTCCAAAACGATTACTAGAAAATTTTTCTCAGTTAAACCTTATTTCATCCTTACCAATCGTAAATTGTTCTCCGTTTGTAGAAAAGACAATATCGCTCGATAGTTTATCTGCTCCTGTGGAACAAGATACATCAGCAGTAGTCAGAGATTGTTGTCAACACGTATACAAGAGCATATTCCTATCTGGTCTTATAAGGGTGATAGGTAATGCATTGAAAGTTCTCTCACCCTCAACTGCATACTCTATTTCTTCGCCCTATGTGTGTATGTATGACCACACACACACACACACACACACACACACACACACACACACACACACACACACACACACACACGAGAGAGAGTTCAGATAAACTTCATGTTCTAATTACACCATCTGAATACACAAATATACAAAGAAATAAACAAATAATTTTAGCTTACTCGATTTGTAATGAAGGATGTAATTCAACAAAATGTCTAAAACGACGTAGGGTATTCCACGACTCAGATAGACCAGTAGATTGTGAGATATGAATAACTTTGATAGTATAAATCACATATGAATCGTGCATTATTTCTAAAATGACAAAAAAAATATCTCATGATAAGTCAAGACGAAAAATTACGTAATCATATTACATGTGAGGAGGATAAGAATTCATTAGGTGATAAAAAAAATGAGTGAAAATAATTCAAGCTTCACTACAGTTAGCCATTCTTAAGGATAAAGAATATATGCATATATAGACTGTGAGAAGAGGCGGCTAACAAAGAACACCTGCTTAATTCGAGTCATCTCCTCATAGTTACAACATGTTCAGTAATCAAAGGTGTATCATAAGATTTGTTACGTGTATACATGGGTAATCCAGCAAGCCTGTTATCATTGAGTTTCAATAACTTATCGAATAGAATGGTTTCACAAATAGGACCATATAATTTTGTGGAAAATTTCGAGTTTCAGATCGATCTCCAGATCTATAGATGTTCCAATACAAACTTGGCGGATCAGTGATATCGGCGAGCAAGATACATACAAGCAGAGCATCCACATGAAAACAAACATGCCTGCTTGAGCTCTCTGTTGAACCTCATCCAAGATGATCAGTTATTTCGCAATCTTCCCACAATGCATCTCGATTCTCCGGGTATTCGGTTCGTTCATTGTACTCACTCACTTGTGAATAGATGTGTATGCAATGCGTCTCACTGAAGTCTCCAAAACCTTGTAGACTGAATATATAGCTCACCTTCCCAAAAAGACATTCATCTATGATGCGTGGTCCATGATGCCAACAGAACCACAGAGGTGGCTCCGCTTCATGCTAATGAAATACAGAGAAGGCTAAGGGCTAATCATACAGGCATTCCGGATTGAATATTACTCACCTTCGTAAGGTAAAACTCCACCTATCTTTGGTAACTGCAGCAACAACAATGAATGCCTGAATTAGGAAGCTAGAATCCCCCTATCTTTCAGTCGCACTGCTTCCAATGCACTAAGAGGAGTCCTGACGGCTTACAAAACCGTCCAGGCTTTCAAGAAACACGCCACCGATCTTGCGTATATAGATCTTGTTGAATGCAGTTTTCGCTAAGTCAAATAAACGCTGTGTTAGTTGATATCAAGGGAAGCCACGAAGAGATTCACTGTCATAAGTAACGAGGTTCGATTCGTAACATCCTGAATCGCCAAAAGCCAAGCAACAATTAGCCGCATCGTGAACAGCTTCTCCATTTTGACGCCCCTGACATGTAACTATGGAGTAGATCTATGCTGCATAGAGTCATAGTAACTTCTGAATATCTCTTTACAAATAAAATGGGTAGTTTTAAAAGTCATTCACTCTTTAAGGAGTTAAGTGTAACGACAAGGTCTGCACTATCGATGCTAATATTGCAGTGGTAGTGGTGAGATATGAACTAGGTAACCCAGGTTTCCACTATTTCTCCAATTGATGTCAGTCCGTGATGAATACTATCTTGACATCGTGAAGTAGTTCAACAAATAAGTACCTATTCGAAATACTTAATTAAATGAGTAATTTGAAGAGAATGACGCATAATATACTGAACAGATAATTAACAACCTTAGTGATCATGATGCTTAGAAAACCAGCCTGATATTCTTTATCTTAAATCACAACTTAAAGTTCGTACACTTAACAAATTCGCAGTTGATTCCGAACCCGACTAATTAATGCAAAAGACATAATTCACGTGTAGAAAGGTGTACTGCGGTCGAAAGACCACAGACCGAAATCAAAAGAAAATATTATTATTATTAGTCCCTTGGGTTCCTAATGGAACATAGGGCTTCAATAACACGTCTCCAGTGACCTCTGTTCTCTGAGGTCTTTTGAACCTGGTTCCACGACAGCCAACAACCTCTCATTTCCTCCTCCCACGATCTCCTCCATGTCACCCTCAGCTGAGACGCCCAACTTGTCGCTTCCCATGGGGGTTCCACTCGACGACCTAGCCTGACGCGTGATGTCCACAGTCGGCCTTCTCAGTGCATGCCCAATCCATCTCCACTTCCTTCCACCACATATTTGTTGAGCGATAGGTTGTTGGTTGGTTCGTTCCCAGAGCTCCTTGTTGCTTATTCCCATTATTCTGGCAATCCATCTGATCTTCAGTAGCGAGCCAGCGTAGATGGCAGTTGTTGATGAATGTCTGTAGTTTATTGGAAATCCCTTTCGTAACGCGCCAAGTCTCTGAACCATATAGAAGCATTGACTTGACGTTGGTGTTGAAAATCCGTATCTTGTTCCACATGCTGAGTGCAGAAGATCTCCACACTGTTTCAGGCTAATGAACTCCTGTCTTGCTTTTCCGATTCTGACTTTGACATCCTCGTCTGTGCCGCGGCCACCTGTAGTTGAAACAGTGCTTCCTAGATAGGTGAAGGAGGTTACTTCCTTTAAGTTTCTCCCGTTAATGGTGATTGGAGTTTGTTGTTGGTGGTGGTGGTGCGGTATCTTCATCACTTCTGTCTTCTCTACATTCTCTTGAAGTCCCGTCTTCGCTGCCTCGCCTCTTCTGTCAACTTGTTAGTTTTCTCCTGTAGGTCTTCAAGTTTATGTGACATCAGGCAGAAGTCATTAACGAAAAGAAAATATAGTTAATATATAAACAGTTCGCTGCTTAAAATAATCCTATTGGCTGATTCACTGTCTGCCTGTCTGTCTATCTAACAATAGAAGTAATAACATAAAGTACATTTTGATTGCTCCCTCTCCAGAATAAGCATTTCTCTGTGTCCCCATTTGACAGAAGGAATGTCAGTGATTGGACAATTTGTCCTACAGCCGACCAATCAGAATAAGCTGCTTGATTTATGGCCTTGTGGTTTTATATGTTCATGAAAACTACTGTATATAAATGATGTACCTACAATCACAAATCAGCCTTTATCTTCTGATTTTTGCGGTTCAGTGATGTATAAGGTTCTGAGAGAGAACAGTTGTTATTCGCATCCAGTCCAAGAGCCTCGAGAGCGTTAATATCGTTTGGATATTTATTACTTATATTGTTCACTCGATCACTTCATCCACTTTCGATTATAGACACCGCATGGCGATATCAACCTTCAGTGTATGGATAGCCGGGAAGTACATCACTCATACTCTTTCAACAGTATAAGATACTCACAAAAGAGGGATTATGTGATGAAAATTAAGGTAGGGGTGGAATGCGAACTATCGGTCCCCATTTTACCAGTCCAGTGATCTACTGATTGAAATATTATATTTTTGAGATGAATGGGGATTTTTAATTTAGAAGTAGTATTCATCATGAGCCGACATCAGTTGGGGAACCATTGAAAATCTGAGAGTACTGGACAGCTGTTTCATACTAGTATGGGACTCCTCAGCAGTACGCACCCACGACCAGGCTAGGGATCGAACTGGAAACCGATCAAGTGGCTGAATGGCTAACGCGTTCGCCATGAAACCTGAAGGTCCTGAGTCCTATCCCTAGCCGGGTCGTGGGTGCGTACTGCTGAGGAGTCCCATACTAGGACGAAACAACTGTCCAGTGCTCTCAGATTCCCAAATGGTTCCCCAACTGATGTCAGTTCATGATGAATAATACTTCTGAAATATTATACCAAGGTGCTTAATGGAGTCATGTGAATGAGTGATACAGTCACAGTGTGATCCATCGATTGTCATCAGAGTTTCAATTATCACTTTGTTACGCATGTGATAGCTTATTAAAACCCTGACTTTTGGATTCGGATAAAAAGCAAGTAGGAAAGACAAGAGAATAAGTCACAGTAGGATAACTGAAGACAAATTTAAAAGGAAACTTTTAGTCTCAGCTAATTGTAATTTATTAGTTCTACACAACCAATTAGTCAGGCACAACATAGAATTTCTGAGTATCATGCAGCTCGGTTGACTGAAGGACAAGTAAAGACAACAAAGAGTGCCATACTTGTACGTCTAGTTGACATTGGTAGCCAAACAGACACTAGAAAGGCTTCTTCGGTTATCACATTCAGAAAGTCTACATTTCCCTACAATCAAAAAGATGTAAGAAGCTGGTGACATGTCTGCCAACCCAAGCCTTTCCCAGCCTGAATATACTTCAGTTAAGATAGCGCGATGACGCTGACGGTGACTAGGCATGCGTAACAAATATCCAAAACGAGGGAGTGGATACAAACTTACAGCCACATCAGCAGACGTTTCTCTCTTATCTAAAACTATACACTTGAATTGTGCGTTACTCACGTGGTGATACCATGAAACAGCCCTTGGCTACGAAGACAACGGTGTTCGAACACCTGAAACCTCATATCCTTTCACTTTAATGGTCAGGTTTCACCATATAGTAGAACAGAGGGAACTGCAGCATAGGGCAGTCGGCTGTCAATAGAAAATAGAAAATCACGGCGACATTATAAGTGGCGTAGGTTGGTGAAAGCTAATCGAGCCCTTCGCATCGGTGGATAGACTTCATCAGTCACTGACCCACCCGAATTCTCAGGTAAGTGAAGTGTTGAATGCACTTAACCACTTCATATATTACCGTTAGTCGGGATGCTGCTGAAGACCAGTCCTGGAGCAAAAAACGTTTTCTAAGTTATCAAATTGCCACTTAAGGTGTCCAAAACACCTCTCATCTTGTCAGCCTCTTCACCTAACACAACAATATCAACTACATACGTCTGAACTTATCAAGGATTCTCTTGAGATAAAGTCAATCTCTTTAAAATGAGATGACAGAGAGGGACCTTCTAAGTATATCCAGAGCAAAATTAAATAAGAATAAGGCGAGTGGATATTCTGGACGAACACAACTCATCATATGCTTTAACATGCTTATCAGCTTTAGAGTACGGTACCGACAACAGAATGATATACTGAGCCGGGAATCGATTCAAAGACACTGTTATACGGTTTCTAGATCGACGGAGTCGAACATCGCCTTCAGGTGGAAAAATACAGCTGAAGTTAATCAGTAGGTCACAATTTTTACGAGTTATCCCAACCCATTATGGAACTAGTATTCTTTATCTTCATATACTCACGTTGATTGCTCTTCGGTTTTACCATGAAACGTACATATTAATGTAGGTAGCCTTAAAGATTAGTAGCTAAGTCCACCATTCATTTCATCAGAGTTATAAATGGTAATTTTTAATAAACCCAACTATTATCGCCCGCAATTAATATTGTTCACTTTGTCTATGAGCACTTTCGCTTTGGTATGACTTCGAAGGTAATTCAGTAGTTCAGTTCAATCCAATCCAGCGTAATTCATTATGAATCGAGCATATACGGTATCACTTATTAACTCGCAACACATACATAAACTACCTCAACCTAAAATCTTGGTAAATGATCAACAGATCTAACACAAACTATTACAATGTAACATCACCAAAGGTCAAAAACTCATGTGCGTTCACAATTCTTCTCCCTCCGAGTCTGCGAGTACTGGAACTCACTACCAGTCGAGGTGGTCTCCGCCCCAACTATTGAAAGCTTTCAGAAAGAGACTACACAGTCACACAGACCGATGGTCTACCCATATATAGCTAGGACACGAACTGATGTCAAGCCACCCCAACTACTTTAACTTTACAATCAGTTTTGTTTCTGTTGTAACTATTTAAGCCCTTTTCACCCCTTCCACTTGCCATGAGTTAGCCTCACTTATCTAAGTTCTTCATACCTTTGCACCCTCCTCGTCTTACTTGGGCGTAAGTAGATTACTCCATCAGTTCACTTTTCTTTTCCCCTTTTACTCACACAAACACTTCCTAGGTTTTCTCTTCACTATCTCTAACACTCTCTAGCGACCAGTCCGAACAACTGTCTGGCAATTAGATATCTGAAGAAGTCAACTGTACCATACTCCAAGGCAAACAAATCAACACAACTTCCTGTTCCACCAAAGACCTGGAACCGCTCCGCAAGACCAAGAAGCGAGCAAAAAGAAATCAACTGGTTTACACAAGCTCGTTAAAAAGACATTGGATATTGGAACACGGAAAGAAACTGAATTTCAAAAAAAATTACCTGTTCGACTTATTTCAGCTGTATATAAATCATCGAAAGCATTGAGATTGTGTTTCTCGAATGAATCTATTCAAAAAAGGGAAGGATTTACATCTAGAATAACACTTTGGAAGATGAGGTTGATGAACAAAATCGAAGTATTTACAATATGAACTATAGGTCATAGGTCTAGGTACTTGATTTGCAACCAGTGGGTCAGTTTCGAACCCAGCTCAGCCTACTAAAGTTTGAGCATTCAGGTAATATCATAAACCCTCATACAATAGAGGTGACTGACTAATTGTTTGTTACATGAAGATTTACATGGTTGCTGAAACCTTAAAATTCTTTTTGTTCACCAAAATATTACGATTAATAATCTAGAAGAGTAGCGATATATAAAAACTGAAATCAATTGTACAATTAACCTTTGTTATGATACTCATTGGTATATAGAGCTGAACTGCTCTACTTCTGTTGGCAGACTGGTTCTTCTGAGAATGCTTCACTACTCTTGATGATTCATGATGGTATATTGATGTCGGTGACTAGCAGAGGTAGCTATTTTGCTCCAGTAGCTTAGTGGTTAATGCTCTACCGTTTGAAGTGAAGGATAGAGAGTTCGAGCTTCAGTGGGAACATCATTCACTGGAATGAAGTAACATTCAGCTAACGAATCCCAAGTAGGACGAAACGAGCATCGTACATTCTTTTACTAGTCACCAAGATCAATATAACATTTTTTTTAGTCTTTCTTATGGATTGAACACAAGATTTATACACTACTACCATCGAAAAAGTGTATAGAAGTCATATAGTTGAGTAAATCTGTGATATATAGCAACCGGCAACTAGTATCATCAATGGATATCCGTCCTTATTCACGGCTAAGATGACTCTGAAGAAATATGAAAGAACGAACTGACCGTCTGTCACTAATTAATAATAGATTATTATTGATTACTATTGAATTCATTACGTCGTTATTTACTTGGTGGTGGTCAGTATTATTATAATTATTTGTGCTTTTAGTTCCTAGTGAGATAAAGGGCATCAGTAACACGTCGCCATTTCACTCCCTCCTCTCCAACCTTTCCAACCTAACTCCAACACTGCCCATAACCTTTCATATCTTCCCCAAACAATCTCTTCCACGTCACCCTCACCTGGGACGTCCAACTCGCTGTTTCCCATGCGGGTTCCACTCGACGGCCTCATGTCACCCAACGATATCTAGCAGCTCAAAGGAGAAACTTTCATATCTGACCACTTTTATGTACTTATATCAATTCACCTACTCGTGTGAAGCCAGACATATGGGTCGTTTGATGCGATTGTTATCCAAAAGGGTTCAAAAACACTATCATGAGTGGTAACAAAGAGGTAACAATGGAGCGAAAAGGAGTGCTGTAATTAAACACACTGTGAACACGAATCACCCTATCTCCAGAACCTCCACGTTCAAAGGTTGTATGTCTTTGTATTCTCTGAATCATCGAAGCTCTTACCATCCATATGCAGAAACCTGAATTGTGTACACAAAAGAAGATTATTCAACCCTTTCTCCTTTTGTAGTCTTAGCTAGTATCCTATACCTACTACTTCTCATTTTGATTGTTCTGTTTTGACACCATTCACTTCCTTTTGTTGGTATGCTCTATTTATTATTATTATTTGTTCCTTGGGTTCCTAGTGAACCATGGGGATTCAGTAACACGACACCATTCCACTCCCTCCTCTCCAATCTTTTCAACCTGGCTACAACACTGCCCACAACCTTTCATCTCTTCCTCAAACAATCTCTTCCATGTCACCCTCACCTGGGATACTCAACTCGTCGTTTCCCATGCGGGTTCCACTCCACGATCTGGCCTGGCCTAGCCTGGCCTGACGCATGATGTCTCGAAACCGTCTTCTCAGTCTATCTCCACTTTATTCTCCTCCATATTTGTTGGTTGGTTCGTTGTCAGTCAACCAGACTTCCTTGTTGCTTATTCTGATTATTCTGGCCATCTGGTCTCCATCTTCAGTATCGAGTGAGTGAGCGTAGGTGTCAGCTGTTGATATGATGTATATCTGCAGCTTGTTCGAAACGCTTTTGGTAACGCGCCAAGAGCAAAAATATTATTACAAAATTGAAATTTTCGCAAAATAGGTTAGTAGTACTAGATGATGACTATATGTAAAATGAAAACTTTAACAACAGCAAGATTCAACCCCGTGACCACTAGCTTTCTAGCCCGATGCTCTACCAACTGAATTACGACTGCTGACCGGATTTGTATTTCAGTGTGATTACAATCAAACGTTAGCAATGCATCACGAATTCACATGGTAGTCGGGTGAAACCCTTGATAACTGAAGGTATTTTATGAAAGATCTGATCAGCAGTCAAGTCTCGTAGTTGAGTCGGTAGAGTATTAAGCGCGAAAACCGTGTGTTCCTTGGTTGATTTCCTCCTATGGCCCAAGTTTTCACTGCACCTTCAATCATCACTCAGTATCGACAAAACAACAAATCTGCCAAACCACGGATGCCATCTCAGATAGTCAAACTGATAGAAATAGGTTACATAACTTACAGAAGATGATTCTGACACAGTTGGCAATAAAATCTGTTGTTTCGGTTCTGTAAAAATGAAAAATGGAAGATGAAATACAAGAAAATGCTGGGCGAAAATAAAATTTTGAAGTAGTATTCATCAAGCACTGATATCAGTTGGGAAGTCGTTAGAAACCTGGAGTACCGGACAGCTGTTTCGTCCTAGTAAGGGACACCTCAGAAGTACGCATCCACGATCAACTGAAGATCTTGGGTAATAGTCGCGTTATATCATGAATTGCCAAAAATATGGACTATGAATCACTAAAGTCCAACCTATTGGCTGAATGTTTAACGCGTTTGCCGTAAAATCTGACGGTCGTCACTTCGATTCCTAGCCGAGTCATGAGTGGGTACTGCAGAGGAGTTTCATACTAGGACGAAACAGTTGTCCAGTGCTCCCAGGTTTTCAGTGGCTATCCAACTGATTATAATTCATTCATTCAATAAAGCCTATCATTGACTATAGATAATAATGGTAGGTTGTATTCTGTACTGAAAATTTGTTTGGCTCAGAAGAAAACTCGATAAGAATAATTTCATGTATTTATCCCCCTCGCATTGGAACTCTATTTCATTCTAGTGCAGTTGTAGCTCATCGGTTAAGACAGTTCACCTTCAATTAATAAGTCGCCAGTCCGAGCATCGCATCACCTATCAAAGTTTGGGCAGCCAGGTCGTAGCATCATTAGCCTGTTGCATGAATGTGCACAAGGTCTCTGAGTGGCTCTTGATCTTTCCCCTCATAGTTTCAGACTCCTCAGCAAGACATACCGATAGCCTGAGAGAGATCCAGCTCAAGACTATCAGACCTGGCGGTAAACATTTCACTATTTAGTAACGATACCTGATCAGAGTATATAGAATAGATATAATCTGAAAGGATGAAATGATATAAGGGTACATGAAATATGTTTCAAACACAATGGAATTGACAAACTATCCACTATATTCTAACAGAGGAAAAACAAAGAAAACGATGGGCTGACCACTTCAAAAACTCTTGAATCGATAACAATCTGCAACTTGTCCGCAAATATCACGAGCAGCCTAGCAACAGAACAATCAATGAACACAAATCCTCCTACAAAGGCAGAATGTTGAACGCCACGCCATAAAGTTACTGTAGTTCGAGAATGCAGCAGGACTACATGTAACTTCTCTAGAAGCCCTGAAAACAGACGCAGAGACATCAGCAGACATGCTCATACCTTTAACACAGAAGGTCTGGAAGGAAGAAAAGATATCCGGCGATTGGCAGCAGGGATACTTGTCAAACTCCTGAAGAAGAGCGACCGAAGTCCTTGTAAGAACTGGCGAGCAATCATGCCCTTGTCCCCATCCATCCCAAGCAAAATATTGGGCGGCGTCATCCTGGAGAGACTAAAGGATGAGCTGGATTCAAAACTACGACCGGAACAGGCTGGATTCAGGAAGTACAAATCATGTGCGGATGAGATTGCAACGCTACGCTACGCATCATCAAAGAACAGAGCCATAGAACGCCAGTCAACACTCTACCTCAATTTTATCGATTTTGAAAAGGCCTTCGACAGCGTCCACCAAGAAGTAATTTGGCAACTGCACTTCAACACTACGGTTTTAGTGCCAAAAACCTTTATCAACCTTATTCATAAGCAACCATATGCTATATGATGAGGCTACATGCCAAGTGATTCACAATGTAAAGCTCAGTCATGCCTTACAAGTGAACACAGGGGACGGGAGTAAGACAAGGTTCCAACCTACTATCAACGATCATCTTCCTGATTATGGTCGACTCGACTGGATCATGCAACAAACTGTGAGGAGTGAAATATGCTGGCTGGACCGATGAAAACATTCTAGAAGATTTGGATTTCACCGCCGCCGATAATTCACCTCCAATGTCTCGTCACACAAACTCAAAGACCTACAGGCGAAAACTAACAACTTGGCAGAAGAGGCAAGGCAGAGAAGGAAGATGGAACTTTCTTCAGGTGAACGTAGATAAGACAGAGGTGATGAAGATTACCAACCAACCAACCAACCAACAACAACAACAACAACGATAACAAACAACAAACATCAATCACCATCAATGGGAGAAATATAAACGAAGTTCTCTTTCATCTACCTACCTAAGCACCATCATCTCAACAACAAGTGGGGGCACAGATGAGGATGTCAAAGCCAGAATCAGAAAGACAGCAAGACAGGCCTTCCTGCATTAATCTGGAATCAATCAGTCTGGACATCTACTGCAGTGCACTGTAGTCAGTGTAAAGTGTGAACAACATCCGGATTTTCATCACTAATGTCAGTGAAGTAAGGCAGTGCTTCTGTGTGATGGTTGAGAGACTTGGTGCGTTACCAAAAGCGTTTCGAACAAGCTGCAGATATACATCATATCAACAGCTGACACCTACGCTCACTCACTCGATACTGAAGATGGAGACCAGATGGCCAGAATAATCAGAATAAGCAACAAGGAAGTCTGGTTGACTGACAACGAACCAACCAACAAATATGGAGGAGAATAAAGTGGAGATAGACTGAGAAGACGGTTTCGAGACGTCACGCGTCATGCCAGGCTAGGCCAGGCCAGATCGTGGAGTGGAACCCGCATGGGAAACGACGAGTTGAGTATCCCAGGTGAGGGTGACGTGGAAGAGATTGTTTGAGGAAGAGATGAAAGGTTGTGGGCAGTGTTGGAGCCAGGTTGAAAAGATTGGAGAGGAGGGAGTGAAATGGCAACGTGCTAGTCATGCCCTATGTCTCACTAGGAACTCAAAGGACAAATAATAATAAATGGGTTTCTAAACTGATGAGGGAAACCTGTTAGGAAGTCCAAGGTTTGACTGAACAGTTCAAGCTTTATCAATTGATGTCACGTCTGTTAGCCATTTTCAACGTAATGCTTTTCTCTTGTAAGCAAAACATGTGAGCGTATAGGCAAGTTTACCAGGTGAACTATCATACTGACTAGCCACTGCCTTCGGCTGAAGTTTACACCGATGACAAACTATTCCTAAGATTCTACACTAATTACTCAATAAATTTCCATTGAAAATAGGAAATCACAAAGGAAACCAACACTAAATTTGACTGATAAAATGTGTAAGAGTTTTAATAATCACCATCATGTAAATCTGAACACGACATATAAGCGAACAATATTGTTTAGAATTATATCCTCTTCAGGTTTCCTTTACCCTACTGCAAATAGCCTAATTTATATAAAGCCAATCATGTTCATTTGTCGGTTGATGTGATAAATGTTTTAAGAAATAACGATGGTGAAGATAATAATACAAATAGCTAACAGAAGTTGGAAATATGGACCATTAAATTCTGACCCAGTGGCTCGATGGTAATGCGCTGGCCGCGGAACCTGAAGGTCGCGGGTTCAATCCCTGAAGGGCGGGGTCGTGGGTGCGCACTGCTGAGGAGTCCCGTAATAGGACGAAACAGCTGTTCAGTGCTCCCAAGCCTCCTTTGTTCCTCTAACTGATGTCAGTATACGATGAATGACAGCGTGAAATATTTCCAAATCTCCACAACTCCCTCAAAATAATAATGATAATGATAAAGTGATAACGTGGACCAACGCACATCCAATATAGATGATGATGATAAGAATCAAGAAAGCAGTATGAAAATGTAAACATTCCGATGATCAAGGTGGGTCAGCAGCTTATGAAAATGAGTTACGAAATAGTAAAGGGTGAGGTAAGTGGATAAACAAAGCTTAGACAATTGCAGTAAGTACACGAAAAGGGGTGGAGGATAAGAAAAGGGGTAGGAAAAAAAACAATTGAATAATAATAATTTGGTTGGTTGTGGCTAGCAGAAAAATCCAAGACGCGCATTTCTTCGTATTTGGGGCTCGTCAGCTGGATGTACCTGCACCCCAGTGATATTGTTCCCACTGAAACTCGAATCTCGTACCTACCGCTTCAAACGCCAAGGCATTAGCTACTATGCCACGGAGGGACGATAGACACTTCTTGTACAACGGGTGATAGTTATTACCACTTATTGACATACTTGTTATTCTCCGTTGTTTGTTTTGTTGGATCGAACTGTTCGACCTCTATTGGCATATGGGCTCCTCATAATTAACATTCAGGGAATGTCGAAGCATCCGCATAGGAGCCCATATACCAATAGAGGTCGAACAATTCCATCTAACAAGATGAGGGATGTACAGATTTCTTCGGGATACAAAGGGTAGGATTATTAGCTCGAATTCCTACAGCTTCTGCTCAGTTTTATCTCACGTCATTGATAGTGATCACTCGATGGATAAGAAAAATGCTTTCACGATTTTATTCACCGCATACCATCTCATCCTTCGAAAGGTATTGAAACTCGTCTTGTACGGCATATAGCAGAAGCTGTGGGAATTCGAGATAATAATCAAAGGTCTTTATATTCAGAACAATAGTGCACATCCTTTATCTCTCTCTTCAGTAGCACGTAACTTTTATTTTCATAAGCTGCTGACCCACCTTGATTACTGGAATGTTTACATTTTCATACCGCTTTCTTGGTTCTTATCATCATCTATATTGGATGTGCTTTAGTCAATGTTATCACTTTATCATTATTATTATTTGTATTATTATTAATATAGTTATTCTTAAAACATTAATCACATCAACCGACAAATCCACATGATTGGTTTAATTATATATATATATATATATATATATATATATATATATATATATATATATATATTTGTCCCTTGGGTTCCTAGTGGAACATAGAGCTACAATAACACGTCTCCATTCCACTCTCTTCTCTACAATCTTTTTAACCTGGCTCCACAATAGCCCACAAGCTCCCATTGCTTCCTCACACTATCTCCTCCACATCACCCTTGGCTCAAATGACCAACTCATCGTTTCCCCTTTAGATTTCACTCGACAACCTGACCTGGAACGTGATGTCCCCAAATGGTCTTCTCAGTGCATGCCCAATCCATCTCCACTTCCTTCTACTGCATGATTTGTTGAGCGACAGGTTCTCGGTTGGTTCCTTCCAAGTCAGTCAGTCAGTCAGTCAGTCAGTCAGTCAGTCAGTCAGTCAGTCAGTCAGTCAGTCAGTCAGTCAGTCAGTCAGTCAGTCATCAGTCGTCAGTCAGTCAGTCAGTCAGCCAGCCAGCCAGCCAGAGTTCCTTGTTGCTTATTCCCATTATTCTGGCCATCTGATCTCCATCTTCAGTATCGAGCCAGTGTAGGCGGCAGTTGTTGATGTGATGTATGTGTGTAGTTTGTTGGAAATGCTTTTCGTAAGGCGCCAAGTCTCTCAACCATATAGAAGCATTGACTTGACTGAATTGGTGTTGAAAATCCAGATGTTGTTGACGCTTTATGCTGAGTGCAGTCGATCTCCACACTACATTGATTTCAGGTTGATGAACATCTGTCTTGCTGTCTTTCCGATCCTGGCTAGCTTTGACGTGCTTGTCTGTGCCTGTGTTGCCTGTAGTTGAAACGATGATGCCTTGCCTGGATAGGTGGGAGAGGCTACTTCCTTTAAGTTTCTCCCGTTGATGGTGACTGGAGCTTGTTGTTGTTGTTGGTGGTTGGGCATCTTCATCACCTCCGTCTTCTCTACGTTCACTTGAAGGATTTTGCCTATAAATCTTCAAGTTTGTGTGACATCAGACTATTTATATTAGGGTAATGGAAGCCTGAAAAGGGTACAGTATGTGTCTTGTTCTAATTTAAATGAAAGAATATTATTGAAAGGATTGATTACCTTTGGCTGATTCACTTTCTAGATTTTGCCAATTTGTACATTCATCAAAAGAATTTGAAGGTAGTGACATTTGTGTATAAGAAGAAACACGTGGTATATTCAAGTTTTTTGATGATACAATAATTTTATCCGATTGAAACATTGAACTTGATGATTGAAGACGACGTAATGATTGAGTTGAATTGGAAATATGCATATTATTTGATGATAAAGATTGTTCCAATGGTTCTTTTAAAAGATCTAATTCAGCTAACAGATGAATATAATGATTACTTTGTTTGAATGCACCAAAACAATCAGGACCTGAGAGGATGTTGACAATCTAATTTTGTTTATTTAAAAAAACAATCAAATTTGGATGAGATCAAGATAAGTAAACAGAGAAAACATTTTAGATAATTTTGATGAGTGTATTAAACTAATTCTTTCAAGGGAAAGTGTAATTCATAGCGGTTGAAGTAATGAACTTCTATATTTTAGGTTCTTATACAACTTTTCTTCTATGAAATGGTATTACTGTTATTGTAATCTAAAATCTGGCATGTATAAGTTATTCTGTTGTACATGTGACTTTTAAGACAAACATGAGAATTTTTTGTCAGTTTATTATTTATTTATTATTAGTCCCTTGGGTTCCTAGTGGAACATACCGCTTCAGTAGCACGCCTCCAGTGACCTCTGTTCTCTGAGATCTTTAGAACCTGGTCCCACGACAGCCCACAACCTCTCATTTCCTCCTCGCACGATCTCCTCCATGTCACCCTCGGACGTCCAACTCGTCGCTTCCCATGGGGATTCCACTCGAGTGCCTGGCCTGACGCATGATGTCCACAGTCGGCCTTCTCAGTGCATGCCCAATCCATCTCCACTTCCTCCTGCATATTTGTTAGGTGATAGGTTGTTGGTTGTTCGTCCCCAGAGCTCCTGGTTGCTTATTCTTATTCTGGCAATCCATCTGATCTTCAGTAGCGAGCCAGCGTAAGCACTTGTTGATGAATGTCTGTAGTTTATTGGAAATCCCTTTCGTGACTCACCAAGTCTCTGAACCATACAGAAGCACTGACTTGACGTTGGTGTTGAAAATCCGGATCTTGTTCCACATGCTGAGTGCAGAAGATCTCCACACTGATTTCAGACTAATGAATGCCTGTCTTGCTGTCTTTCCGATTCTGACTTTGACATCCTCGTCTGTGCCGCGGCCACCTGTAGTTGAAACAGTGCTTCCTAGATAGGTGAAGGAGGTTGCTTCCTTAAAGTTTCTCCCGTTGATGGTGACTGGAGTTTGTTGTTGTTGTTGTTGTTGTTGGTGCGGTATCTTCATCACCTCTGTCTTCTCTGTATTCACTGAAGTCCTGTCTTCGCTGCCCTGACTCTTCTGTCAACTTGTTAGTTTTCACCTGTAGGTCTTCAAGTTTATGTGACATCAGGCACAAGTCATCATTGGCGAAATCCAAGTCTTCTAGGTTCTTTTCCGCAGTCCAGCCAGAGTATCACCCTCTTCTCACAGCTCCCCACTGTTTGCTGCATGATCCAGTCCAGTCGACCACAATCAGGAATATCATGGGGGATAGTAAGCAACCTTGTTTCACTCCTGTCTTCACTTCCAGTGCAAAAGCATCACTGAGCTTCCCATTGTGAATTACTTGGCTGGTATGTGGCGTCTTCACATAGTTGTTGAATGAGGCGGATAAAGGTTTGCGGTACTCCGTAGTAATGAAGCAGTTTCCAAATTACCTCGCGGTCGACGCTGTCAAAGACCTTCATTTTTCGTCAGTAGGATATTCAAAAAACGCTGATTGTTTATATTTTTCTCTCTTTTAAATGAAAAATGTGTCAACTATATAAGGTGCTCATACAAACCTCCAAAGCGATTAAACAATTTCGAAAACCGTAACAATCACGTTCTTTATCGACAAATCATTGTATCCATCTGAATATGATGTAATAATAATAATAACAATAATAATAATGGCTTTATTCTGAAAGGTATTTCAAGAATACTGTGTAGAATTTTCAGCATATCATATGTTTTGATCAGAAGGATGTCAAAACCATGATCAGAAAAGCAAGGCAGGCTTTCACTAATTGAAATCACTGTGAAGATCGACTGTACTCAGCACCAATGTCAAATCAGTGTTGCCATATGGTTCAGAAACTCGGCGTGTCATGAAAAGCATTTCCAATAAACTACAGATATTCATCAACAACTGCACCTACGCTCCCTCGCTCGATACAGAAGATCAGATGGCCAGAATAATAAAAATAAGCAACAAGGAACTCGTTCTGTGAACGAACCAACCGAGAACCTATCACCCAACAAATATACAGAAGAAGTGAGTGGAGGTGGATTGGGTATACACTGAGAAAGCCGACTGGGGACATCATGAGCCAGGCACTCGAATGGAATTCAAAGAGGAAGCGATGATTTAGTCGTCTGAGCCGAGGGTGACATAAAGGAGATGGTGTGAGGAAGAAATGAAAGGTTGTGGGCAGTCATGGCATCAGGATTAAACTAACTAACTAAGCATATGAAGAAGAAAAAGGCTTAGTTGTATTATGTTCTCTAAGTTGGGTTGTTTAATCGTGGAGACGTTTTCATTGTCGTTCTGGACGACATCATCAGCACTAACTTCATATTGATATCGTCCAGAACAACAATGAAAGCGTCTCCACGATTAAATAACCCAGCTCAGAGAACATAATACAACCAAGACCATCCCCCCCCCACTTCAGCTACAAATATTCTCTATTAGTTCAAGAAGAAAAATTTATTGAAAACATTTTTAATACCTTGAATGAACACTGCTTTATTCAATGATCTACCCTGTAGTTTGATTATCAATGAATAATAATATAGGATTGTTAAAATCAATGAACTTACATATGTTTCTATTTCATTAAAAGAATTCGGATTCAAGATATCAGGTTCACCAGTAAGTGTACGTAGTGTACGTTGAATTAATGGTTCAGCTGATAATGGCATAAAATGTAATAAATGACTACATATAGTTATACCAAATGCACGTAATTGTTCAATAGAATCATGAGAAGTTTCATCATCACCTGTTTCTATGACATTATTTTCATCTTCTTTGAAATTCATTTGTAAATTAATTGTTTTCATATCATCATCTTTAGTTATAGATCGTTTCAACTCGTTTTCATCATCTTCATCATTAGATAATATATCTTTGGATAAAGTTTCATCATAAACAAGTGTATCAGAAATTGTTTTTAATGCTATATTCTTATTCTCTGTAGGATGAGAAGAATCTAGACATAATGGTTCAGTTATACTGGATGTTGTATTCGATGGAATAAGTTTTATCCTTGAACTTTCAGTAAGTGTTAAAACCGATGGATGAATAGTTTGATCAGTTGTTGGTGTAATATGTGTTAGTTTACTGGCACCTTCACGGAAACTCTATAAACAGGTGATACTTTTTTAAATAACCAATTATGAATATAGAAAATTTAACCTTAAAATTGGTACTAAACAAAAATTGATGAAACAACATATAGGATAATGTCAAAAACCAAATAAGTGAGGATTCGTACTCAGAAAATATTCAACCAATCAAAATGTAGATGAAACAGTAGATTATCTCATCGAAGGAAGGAATTAAAGCAACACACTAATGACTCTAAAATTTATTTAAGTTTAAAATACTGTTAATTAACTGACCTACTTCTTACACCAACATAATAATGATAACTCACTTTATTCCAAACAGTTTATCCTACGTTTGACTGGTAGTGGCTACCAGAAGAATCCAGGACGCGCGTTTCGTCTTATTTGAGACTCATCAGCTGGATGTACTTGCACCCCAGTGATATTGTTCCCACTGAAACTCGAACCTCATACCCATCGCTTCAAACGCCGAGGCATCATCCACTATGCTACAGAGGAACGATAGCCACTTCTTGTACAACGGGTAGTAGTTATTACTATTTATTGACATACTTGTTATTCTCCGTTGTTTGTTTTGTTGGATCGAATTGCTCGACATCTATTGGCGTATGGGTTCCTATGCGGATACGTCAATATTGGCTGAATGTTAATTATGATAAATTGGTTGGTTGTGGCTAGCAGAAAGACCCAGGACGCGCGTAGGACCCGGATAGGAGCCCATATGCCAATAGAGGTCGAACAATTCGACCCAACGAAACAAACAACGGAGAATAACAAGTATGTCAATAAATAGCAATAACAACTACCCATTGTACAAGAAGCGGCTAACGCTCATCCAAGGCAAACTGGATGACGAATAGGCGTTTGAAGCGATGGGTACGAGATTCGAGTCCCAGTGGGAACAATATCACTGGGGTGCAGGTACATCCAGCTGATGAGTCCAAATAAGACGAAACGCGCGTCCCGGATTCTTCTGCTAGCCACAACCAACCAATTTATCATAATTAACATTCAGGCAATATCGAGGCATCCACATAGGAGCCCATACGCCAATAGAGGTCGAGTAATTCGATCCAACAAAACCAACAACGGAGAATAACAAGTATGTCAATAAATAGTAATAATTTATAGTACAATTTGGATTTCTCAGCATGATATATTCCAACAACAACAACATCATATATGTGTATGTATGCACTCCTTTACATTTCGAATTGTTATTATAACAGTTTAAGTAATCGAATGAATATTAATAAGGAAAACATTTTACATGGTTAATTAAACTATTGGAATGAGATTGTTAACTGTTACAAAGTTGATATATGTGAGTTCTATTCTAACATCCCTTTTCTCCTCATATCATATGCATGTTAGGTAAGGTAGACACAGTTGAATTCTTTTAATTGACTGTAAGAGCCTACAGAATCGTTTGTAATTTACTCTTGCCCCCCTCCCCTCTTGAGGAGATTCAAGGAGAGATGGAGCTGTGAATGAAGTGATGCTCAGTGTCAGTTAAAATTACTATAGCTAATTGCCTTGCTACAGTTCAAATGTCTATCAACTACAGTGTTAATAAGTTGGGCCAGAGATAGATACACCAGTCACCCTACTGACTGACGGCATTCAAATCCCCTACAGAATATAATATAGCCCCATTTTAGTAGACCAGGAAACATCGATGGAGAACAATACAGAGGAAGAATAGGGGAAATGCAGGAATTGATAAATTGTAAAAGTGGACAGACTGAGTTATACCAGAGAGTCTCAATTTCTTTATGTAATAAGTTAAACGAAAGATTTTTTTCACAAGTCACCAGTGTACTAGACGACCAACAAAGATGAGAAGTAAAACTCACTCTGAGATAGTCAACACTCGATTTACTTTGTGCAGAAATACTATCAGTACTGTAACAGGCGTCATGAGATGTAAGCAACTCACCCAAGTCTTATCTCCTCCTGAGGCTAAAATTAACAGTCTTACATTTAGAAGAGTTTAAACTTGAGACCATCGGTCAATAGGAGACAATCTAAGTGAGAGTTGACTGAAATAGACACAGTCAATTCATCAGCATTCTGAATAAATTACCTCAACAGAATAAGGTAAGTCATACAGAAAGAATGGAAACGGAAACGGAGAAAGTACTGCACCTTGACGCGTACCAGCTCCAGTAACCAATGAAATGGAATACCTGACTTTATAGACAGTATACTGTTTTCTTTTAGAGAAATAAGAAAACAGCCACTTTCCAACCCAAGGTTCTGTATGAGCCACGACAAGCTTATTTAACAAAAGTAGTCTAGGAGCAGAGTCAAAGGCTGACGAGTAGTCCAAAAAGGCACAACGAACATACTGAACACTTTTGTCGAGACTAGAAACAATATTATGATGCAAGACAGTGGCAGCATCTAAAGTACTTCTCCTGCATTTGTAAGCAAATTTTTTTGGTTTCTGACAGCCTTCAATGATGGTTCAGGGGAAGTTATAGTAATGGGTCAAAGTCTAACATCTGATCCACAAGATGACTTAGGCACATGTACAACTTTGACCTCATTTGAAGCATCGGATTTCATGTTTTTAGAAAACGATCCATTGAAGGTATCTGTAAGAGGATGACATAAAATATCTGCACTCTTTCTAAATATAATACTCGAAACACCATCAGGAATCTAAGCTTTGGAATGGATTCACAGATTTAAGACATTTAAATACATCGTGTGTATTAAAACCTGGAATGCAGCTGTCCATTTGACTATGGACATTAGGAAGTATGAAGTCAACTTGTCCACATATGAATAACTTGTTTAAAGCACAGATATGAAAACAAGCTTCTGTTTTCGACCACCAAGCTCCTTAAATAATTCGCATATATTGGAAGAGTTCTTACATGATAGAAACTTCTGATTGTAAATAGTATTCAGACGTTGTATTTCAGACTTGGTTGGGCAGTTAAGTCTTTTAACGGCAGAGTGATTTCTCGTATTATACAACCTTTCCTTTCCTCTCTGGAGTCTCCTGAGATGAGGAGAGGGAAGTTTGTTAAATCTCATTAAGATTGTTTCAGCTTGACAGCAGATATCGAGACAGAATCTGAGATAGCCTGTAATATTGGTGATAGTGTTGTCTTAAAACTCAGCACCAAGTATAACTCAGTGTGTTTCTTTGCGAATGCTTCACAAGATAGTATATTCTTTTGTGAACAGCATGTGTATTGAACTTTCTTGGAAACAAATCCGAAAGCCTTCCTGTGTAATTTGCTGTATACTTTAGGTAAACACGTACAATATAGCGGGCACGAGTCAGCAGCGAAGCTTCATGTACGGCAGGTTCAATTGTAAATACTAAGGTGTTATCGAGAAGAGTAGAAAAGCTAACCATATTCTCATAACCCAATGATACTAGGAAACTGAAATCACATGAGTTAAAATCTCCATAAGGAGTTAGGCAGAATGGGAGAATGAAATTCACTGAATTCACCAACAAAAGTTGACAAATCTAAGAGACTGCAGTCAGGTGTGACATAAAAGTTTATGATGTATGTGTGTTTGTATTTAATCAAATGTTAAAGACAACATATAATGGTAATCCACTCGTTAGAGAGGTTAAGGCATACATAGTTGCAACAGGACCAGTTTGTGTTGATAAATGTTGCTGCACATCCACCACATTTCTTCTTGAAAAAGTTTCCATTTTGTCGAAATAATCTGAAACCATCTAAGCACACTAAATAGTCATCATACAGGTTATGTAGCCATATTTCCTGCAGTCCTGGTGGGTCAGTTGCCGATGAAATCTCTGCACAGATACAAAATCTCGATTGGCTTTGCCAATTTGCGCCACCTATGGCGCCGCCGTGATATCGTTTGTCTATTAAGGGTCGCGTTTACTGCACAGCAGTCCGCTCTGTTCTACTGTACCACTGTGAAACATAGCCATTGAAAGTGGAAGATATGAGAAGGTTTCAAGTGCTTGACCACCGTTGCCTTCGTAGTATATGCTATATTCGTGGTGTCACCACGTGAGTAATGCTCAAGTCAGGTGTAGAGTTTTAGGGAGAAGAGGTAAGTCAGTTGTAGAGGTTATGAACCTTCATCGATGAGATGGTTGGGATATGTACTACGTATGCCTAGTCACCGATTGCCTCGTCACACAATGTTGGCTGAGGTGGGTCCAGGCTGGAAAAAGGCCCGAAGTGGCCAGACTAAAACATGGCACCAATGTATGAAGTCTCTGACTATTGGTTTGAGCTATGTAGGGTGATGCATACTAGGTGGTTAGGGTCCGCGGGACAAGAGGAACCAGTGATTAAAGACTTACTCTAGGTGGTATGACTCAGAGTTGATGTGAGTGACGCAGATGTATACACATACATAATCCTCATCTGAACACTATACCGAATCTCACCATTCTGTCATTCTTTTCTTTCTCGTACTTTATAATTCTTTTGACTGCATTCCCTTATCTTCATCCTTCACCTCACTACCTTTCTACTTGATGTACTGTACTGAGCTGTAGCAACTCGAACCGTTACGCAGTAATGCCTGGTACAATGTTGATATTGATTGATTTCCTGCAGCATTATTACAACCGTATCTGGTAAACATTTGTGGACAAGAATCACTGATAAATGACTGATGAAATGAAGTAACCTACAGTTCAACCAGGCCTCTTCTGACATTATGATTATTTGGTTACAAGAATAAGATATACCATACCAGTTTTCTTTCTGCTTATAAAAATCGTCAGTTCGAGTACAATCAACCTTCTTGTTCTTGATGAGCCATAATATATTCTGATAGCCTTACGGTAAACACAAATATCGCAGTGCTTCAAGATACTGATTCCATTTCAGTTGTTGATTTTCGACATATTATCAATGGTTCGCCAGCTTATATCAATCAGTGATGAAAGTTAGTTTGATATTAATGAGATGTAAATGGGACTGAACCATGTAATGTGTATTCGAACTATCTGACCACACACACGCAAGTACTTGTCATAGATATTTACATAA